TCTCTTCATGTCTGGGTATTGGGAGTTCCAGAACCATGCACAGTTGAGTCATGCGTGGGACATTGACAGGGTTATTTAGTCTGAATTCTGTATGGATTAGGAAAATCCAAAGTAAATTATTAAATTTCCACAAGATATGCGAATCAGATATTTACTCATTGTAATTCTGGTATGAATACAGTGTTTTGTAAATAATATGCACACCCAATGTTTGCTTTAACTTCACCTATTTACAATTGTAAATCCTATACAACATTTATAATTTGCATATTTATTATCGGATTTCTAATGAATCTTGCTTTGAAAGCAGGGAATCTGAAAATATATTTATTAATCTGTTAAAACCCTTTTCTCACTACTGCCATAAGTACACCCCTCAAACTGGAAAACAAATTATCATACACCATGGCCTGCTCTCTTGCTGTAACTTATCTGCTGAATGCTGGTGGAGAGTTATAAAAAATAGCCCTCCTACCACCACCTCAAAAAATGGTGAAGACACTGACTTAGTACCGCACGCCCGGGAGGCGTTGCATTCCACCGAGCACCGAATCGCTCTACTGCGCATGCGCAAAACGGTGTTTATGTTTTTTGGCACCAAATTCAAAAATTGGTGGCATATAAAGCTGTGCAGGACCTTTCTGACCCCAAGGGTGGGTGTACAGTCCTGGTTCTCCATGTCACCAGCCCTCCTACACGGTTCTAAGATGGTTTGAGGTGAGATTTAACTCTTAAAACTCTCCTTTTGTCACCTATTTCTATTGCATGCTCCTATATATAATTACTGGTGTTTTTTCCTTTTTCCCAGATATGTCCAGTCCTATATCTCTGGATAAGACAGATAAAGACAAGATGTCAGCATCTGTTCCTAAAAAATCCACAAGCAAATCTAAGCACTTATGTTCTCTGGAATGTGCTGTGCCTCTACCTGATGGATGTAGCAAAACGACATGCAATCAGTGCTCTACGGAATTGCTAGAAAAAGCCAAGCAGACTGATATGTCATTCTTCCTGTGCTGGTTTCAGGAAAACTTGTCCCAGACATTTGAATCTTTTAAAGATGCTGTAAATAAAGAACCGGCTATTCAGGAGAAGCAGCCTACGAAACATAGGAGAAATAGATCTCCTTCTCTGTCTGATATTTCTTCAGGAGAATGCTCTTCCTCATCACCTTCTGATATTTCCAGCCTCGTTTCAGGTGTGGAAGAAGGTTTTCCACCAGAAGAGCTCAAAAAATGTATTAAAGAAGTGGCGACAGCTGTACGAGAACCAGAACCTACCAAGGGTAAGGTTAAAGGTTTCCCAATGCCCCCTAAGATAATCGATCTCCTTCATAGAGAATGGAAGAATCCTGAAAGACGTGCATTTACTTTAAAACAGTTTTAACTTCTGTTCAAACTACAGTCTGAAGAGAAATGGAAGAATCTTCCCAAGGTAAATATTCAGATAGCCCAGCTATCAAAGAAGATCACTATACCCATTGGCGAGGTCTCAGGACTTAAACACCCAAAGGACAAACGAGCCGAAACTTCATGTAGAAGAATTTTACAAGCCGCAGGCTACCATTGCAGAGCCGAAATAGCAGGTTCAGCGGTTCTCAGGGCACAGAACATTTGGCTCCAAGCCCTGGAAGAGTCTCTTATGGGAAAGTCCGATACCGACCCTGCCCAGCTGATGTTCCTCCTGAAATGATCTAACAAATTTCCTTCAGATGCCTCTGATGAGATTCTTCGTTTATCAGCAAGAATTATGGGTTGGTCATCAGTGGCCAGAAGACCGCTATGGCTACGAACATGGACAGCTGATTCAGCTTCTAAGGCAGCCTTGTGTGAATTACCATATGAGAGGAACAAACTTTTTGGCACTCCTTTGGAAGACATTATTAGACAAATGTCAGAAACAAAGAAAGCTCTACCTCTGGAATCAAGACATCAAAATATATCAGTTTAAGGGTCAGCGTTCCTTTCGTTACCAGGGGCGTTTTTGCAGATTTCAAAAACATGGTGAAAACAGCAGTCAGTGGTCTAGACAGGATTCCAACAGGCAAGACAAAAAAAGAAAATGTTGACGCCAAAAGAGTAGGAAGACGCCTTTAGTTCTTCGCCCACGAATGGGAAAAGAGTATATCAAACAGGTGGATTCTAAGAACAGTTTCAGAAGGTTACAGAATCAAGTTTTCCGCAGTGCCACAACCATCCTTCCTACTGTCAAGATATCCATCAAGAAAGAAATCAGAGACACTCCTAACAGAAGCCCTTATCCTTTTAAGGAAAGATATAGTAAAGAAGGTACCCAAACGATGGGAATTTCAGGGAGTGTACTTCTACCTGTTCCTGGTTCAAAAACCAGACGAATCCTTTCGGCCTATCCTAGAACTAAAACATGTCAACACCTGCATACTGTATCAAAGGTTTCGTATGGAGAATATTCTGTCTGTCACACACATCTTACATCTTACAGTGGCTTATTTAAATCACCAAGGAGGCACAAGGGTGAAAGCTCTACAAGACCTCTGCTATTGCATCATGTCTTGGGCCCAAGCAAAACTTCTCGCAATCTCATCTACCCATATCAGAGGGTCTCTAAACGTTATTGCAGACAACCTCAGCATGAGTCATTGGTCTCAGACAGATTGGTCACTATCAAACCAAGTTTTCTTGGAGCTAGACCTGATGGCCACAAGGAGAAACAGAAAACTGCAGAGATTTGCTTCCCTCCAAGCACGAGATTACCCAGATATTTTAGATGGTCTATCGATTACTTAGAACTTTGACATGGCTTATGTTTTCCCTCCATTAGCTCTTATTCCATGAATTTTTCAGACAATAAGATGGGAGAAGGCAAGAATTCTAGCTGTCCTGTCCTTCTGGCCAAACAGGAGTTGGTTTTCAGAAGTGGAAAACATGATCATCTCACGTTGGTCTCTCCCAATCTCTTCCAACATGATAGAGCGTGTGACTCTTCCTGTAGAAACACTGGAAATGTTCCTCCTGACGGCATGGTTGCTGCAAGGTTGATCCCTCAAGGACATGGTCTTTCAGACCGCTTATGTGACGTTCTGCTGTCTTCAGTCCGCTTGTCCACAACAAGAATCTATTTCAGGGTTTGAAAGTTCAGAGCCTGGTTCTCTGTTCGAGGTTCGGATCCTGCCAAAGCATCAGTCCCAGAAATTCTTTCTTTTTTGCAGTTTGGGTTTGAAGCCGGCCTAGGGGTCTCTACTCTCAAGGGCCAGATTTCAGCTATAAGTCACTTCCTGGTTCGTCACAATCCCTCAGACTTGCTTATCCAAAGGTTTGTTAAGTCCATATGGCTGAAGAGGCCTCCCAAGTTGGTCTCTTTCCCTACCTGGGATTTGTCCTTGGTGCTTCAAGCCCTTTGTGAACCATCGTTTGAACCATTACTGGAGGTTCCCATTAAACTGCTTACCTTCAAGATGGCATTCTTGGTGGCTATCACCTCAGCTAGGAGGATAGGTGAGATCCGGGCTCTATCTTCCTCTCCTGAGTTCACTGTTTTTCATCAAGATAAAGTTGTCCTGCCCCCCAGGCCTTCTTTTTTACTCCATGTTATCTCAAGTGCTTCTGTGAACCAACCTATTATTCTGCCCGCTTTTTGCCAGTCTCCTTCATCTGATCTTGAAAGAAAGTGGCATCTCCTTGATGTTAGAAGAACCCTGAAGGTCTACCTTCAGAAGACTCAGGGGTTTAGGACCTCAGATCATCTCTTTGTCTCCTTTCAAGGTTGTGCTGTCTCCAGACCATCTTTAGCCAGATGGCTGACCAATACCATCAGGTTGGCTTATCAATCCAAAGGCTGTAAAGGCTCATTCCACTAGGGCTATGGCAACCTCCTGGTCTGAAAGAGCAGCTGCCTCACCTGAAGATATCTACAAAGCAGATACTTGGTCGTCATTGCATACTTTTATTAAACATTATAGGCTGGACACATTCTCATCCTCTGAAGCTGCTTTTGGGTTTAAGGTGCTACAGGCAGTGGCCTTCGGAGTCCCCACCCTTTTGTTTTGTTTGCAGGGATCTTGCTATATCCCACTTGTAATTACTGCCACTATACGAGAGGAAAAACAGTAATTTTACTTACCATAAATTCCTTTTTTCTTAGTATGGTGGCAGTACTGGCTTTCCCTCCACTTTATATGGATTAAATAACTTTTGCATTATTCAGTCTCTGTTTGGTTCTTTTGCATTACTGGAGTTGTACTCTGGCTCACAGGTTATATGGAGGGAGCAGGCAGAGCACAACAATTATCTTCAAAGAAGGGGGAGCTTCTTGTCCAAAACCAGAAGGAACATCCCATTTGTAAGTACTGCCACTATACTAAGAAAAAAGGAATTTACGGTAAATAAAATTACTGTTTTTTAGGGAGTTTGCCATGAGTTTTTGGAAGGGACTACTTGCCAGCCTCCTGCCCCAAGACTATGGGCCCTTCAAAAAGACAGGCTAAAAAGTGACTTCCATGGGAAAATGTGCCTCTCCCCTGTCCTATTGTTCTCCAGCATGGTGGTGTCCCAGGGACACTGCCAGACCAGTTGAAACTGGCTGCTTTGTCCCTCCTCAATCTCTCATCAGCCCTGTACTATAGGGCACTTTTAACATTGTATATATTGAGCGCTCAGATCCATGCTATCTGGGGATATGTTGGACATATAGGTTAAACATTGTATTATAAGAGTTATTTATTTTTATGTGATTTTTGTAACAGTTTTTGACTTAGAGATATTTCCTGTACCTGGAGATAATTAAGTTACCACAGACACTTAAGCCAATTATCTCCAGGATAGAGGAGAAGATAGACCGGCCCTGTCTAAAGCGGGATTTGAGAAAATGGGGCAGCGCTCACCTCCGAGGAAGAGACTGACCTGGAATGGAAAGATGCCACCCAGAAAGAACGATGGTACGATGCCCTGGAGGAAGTTCAGTATCAACGGAGGGAGAGCCTTCCTAGTATCGAGTACCGTTTGCAGGAACAAATGGCCTGGCGGATGGCGCTTCTGGGGAAACAACCCGTGACGGAGCGGGTAAGACACCTGGAGTACCTAGTGGAGAGGAAACTGAGCCTGGATGCCTCATACCGGGTACTATGGTGGTGCACCGTCCAGCCAGAGGGCATCTAGCCGGAGAGGGAGAACTACACTAGCCCTGGCCTGTTGGGGAAGGCCTTTGAGGAAGACGTCCACATGGGTGGTAACCTTGTGGGGAAAACTGTATAAAAGAAATGCCTTTGTGCTCATTAAAGGAGTTCTACTTCACCCTCAATTTAGAGTCCTGTCTCTTATTGGGGGAAACTGCTACAAGGGAATGCTATGCTCTTCATACTCCCTTGAATAATCCCTAAGCTCTTGTAAGAGCTTGTTACTGTTCCTGTTCTGCTTCACTCTCTGGGGAAAGAGAGCTTCACACACTCGAACCTGGAGCCTTGTCATAGGTCCAGGGTGGGTAGCAGACTGCGAGACCCCAACCAAGCTGCAGCGGTTTGTGGGGTCTGCGGTGGTTATGGTTTCTGGTGGAGTGCTTTGAGCCTTCAAGAAGCGCTAGGAGCATCCTTCAACGGAGGTACCCAGTCGGGGTGCCAGGTGATCCGTTACAGAGCACAGCTGAACTCATCCAAATGTACCAGTTTCGGGATTCATTGTGGTCAACGTTCAAGCGTACTGGCTCTATGAACGATCACTGTGCATATAGACAATGGCAAAATATATGCACAAAAGAAACTAAATTAGCTAATGCCCAATATTTCTGTGAAAATCTGAACAATAACCTATCAAACCCTAGAAACGTTTGTAAAGTCATAAATAAATTACAAACTCCCCCAATCCACTTCTAACCCTCCACTGTCAAAGTGGATAACCAAACCCTACAACTTCCCTTAGATGTAGCAAATGCCTTTAACAATAATTTTGTTCGATGCTCCACTACCTTGATTGCCAAGCTAATAAATGACACTCATCCTGAAACTACAAATGTGGATCAGGCCCCACTAAATTTGCAAAGACCCAATACAGACAAGTTCATTTTTAGACCTGTACCTATCAGTGTCATTAAAAAACACCTTAATAATCTAAAAATGAAAAATCAGTCTGGACCTGATCAAATTCCAGCAATGCTGTTACAGCTCAGTGCGCCGGCAATTGCTAAACTCATCACAACCCTAATTAACAAATTCTTGGTGTCTGGATACATACCCAAACTTTGGAAGACAGAGAGGAGTGCCTATCCATAAAAGTGGTGACACTACTTTGGTTTCTAACTATCGCACAATATCATTGCTCCCAGTATTGTCAAAAATCTTAGAAAAAGCATCCATACGCAACTATGTGAGTGTGGCAAAACTAGCCACTTCCTTGTATAAGAGACTAAGTTGGTTTGACTATTTCTATTCCTCGAAGAGAATATGGACATATTGTTCGTCAGTCGAACCAACTACAGAACAGGGAGACCACCCAGAGGAGTCGTGTGTCTCCAATTGAATATTGTAACACCTTAAAACTGCAAGATTCTAAATGGTCAGATGGGTGGCCGCCATTTGTATGAACGAACACATAGCTGCGGCCATCTTTGCACACGAACACCCAGCTGTGTTTGGTCGTCGAGTGCGTGGAACTACAGTGAGTATTACCAATAATCTAACTATCTGACCCCTGATCAATCAGGTTTTCGCCCAAATCACTCCACTACAACTGCCCTCTTAAAAGTTTGCAATGACATCCAAACTGGCATTGAACGAGGATACCTAACTGGAGCTATTTTCCTTGATTTTGCAAAGGCCCTTGACACAGTAGACCATGACATTCTACTGACTCAAAACTCAAGTATTGGTGTTTGTCCGCTAACCTGGTTTCGATCATATGTATTGGATCGCTCACAATATGTGTCCATTTCTGACAGCGACTCCCTCCCTCTCCCAGTCACATGTGGTGTTCCCCCAAGGATCCATTCTCAGCCCCCTGCTATTCACACATTTTATAAATGATCTGCCTAATGTTTGCAAATCCTCAAATGTACACGTGTACCTAGTAATCTATGCAAGCAAATCCAATCTACCCCAGCTTCAGGCTGTGCTCCAAGACCAGTTCACAGAGGTAAAAACGTGGATTGCAAAAAACAAATTTTTCCTAAACACTGACAAAACTGTCACAATGATATTTGGAACAGTACATAAATTACACAAATCATACAATTCACACCTATCCATTAGAACAAATTCAAATAGCACACTGACCGCAGTCCACTCTTTCAAATTGTTGTTAGACCGCAATCTATCTTTTGGCCTCCACATAGAAAAACTTGCATCTAAACTTTATCCAAAACTAGGTGCCCTTTACAGAAACAAATCCTGCCTACAGTAAAGGAAAATATTGTACAGCAAATGCTGATGCCAGTCATTGATTATGGGGATGTAAAATATGCATCTGCATCGCAATCCCACATTAATAAACTCAACACATTGTATAACTCGTTCTGCCGATTTTTGCTACAATGTAATTACAGGACCCACCATTGTGACATGCTAAAAGAACTAAACTGGTTGTTGCTGGATTCCAGTGTCGTGGATCAAATCAAGTGTTTGATTATTTAAATATCTGCCCCTGTCCAAATTATCGCTATTTTATGCGTGCACGCTCCTAGAGTAATTCACACCAGACACAAGTTTCAGGTTGATGAAAGACTTCAGGAATGTTTATTTCAGGGGGCCAGCATGCCCTTTATAAAGCAAGAATACATCATATGCATAATTATAGATAACAGAGAAAATACATCAATAATTGGTTAGGTGTTAAGTGGTTCATCTAATGTACATCCTACCGGGTGTGATATCACTGTCATTATGAATTTCTCCTCCAGATTCCAGCGCCATCTTGTTACATGAGGTGTTTAGTCAACAGGAGCAGTAACTTCTAGCGGCCATTTTGATTAAATACTGAATAATGTTGATTATAGTTATGCAGAGTAAATAGGCATTTTAGTAAAGCTAATATTATGTCCATAACACCAGACGCACCCTTCATCTTTCCAGCCTTGTGTTTAAGATCTTTTCTGGGAAGCTCCCGCCCTACCTGAGCAGAATGCTCTCCCTGGCTTTTCCCACCTCCTATAACCTCTGGTTCAGTACCAGCACTTTATTTAGTCTACCACAATACAAAAAGAAAGCGGCCCGATCCTCCTTCTCCTATAGAGCACCGCAATTGTGGAACGACCTCCCGCACAATTTAAAATCTTCCCTAAGCCTAAAGTCCTTTAAGAGATCCCTCTCTACATACCTCAAAACAGAATGCACGTGTCATGGTTGAATATATATTTCCTACCTGTTCTATGTTAAATTTTGTATATATTGTGTATTAATATTGGGTTTGTATTTTATTGTACCCTAATGTAACAATGCAATGTTTTGTGGACCCAGGACGTACTTGAAAACAAGGGAAATCTCAATGCATCTTTCCTGGTAAAATATTTTATAAATAAAAATTGCAGGCTGAGCTATGAAATCAGACATTATTTGGTTCTGGCAGCACAAACAATCAACGGGTAAATAAAAAATATATATACCTGATAATCCTTATACTTGCATAAAACAGGTCCTCTCATACACTTACACAGGTCCCTTTCAAACACATACACAATTCCCTCTCATACACGTGCACAGGTCCCTCTCATACACTTACACAGGTCCCTTTCAAACACGTACACAATTCCCTTTCATACACATACAGAGGTCCCTCTCATACATTTACACAGGTCCCTCTCATACACTTACACAGGTCCCTCTCGGACACGTACACAGGTCCCTCTCAGACACTTACACAGGTCCCTCTCATACATTTACACATGTCCTCTCATACACATAAATGAGCACTAGGGCTTGTTTTCGGGGAAAGACGGTATTAATGTCTTAGGGATTTATCTAACCATTAAAACCTATGGGATTTTTTTCCAACAGTATTGAATCTTTTAGAAAGCTTATTAAATTGAGTCAGATTGATAGGTTTTAGTGTTACCTCCATGATGCTGTTAAAGGAATTCATAAATAAGAACTGTGTCCATGAAAACAAATCATAAACAAATAGAGATAATGAGACTTTATAAGAAGCAAACACTAACAGACATTATAAACCACAATTCACATAGCTTGTACTTTTACTGTGCTTTTAGCATTCATTAAATCAATCCTCTGTGACTATAGACACCAAGACACATTTGTTAATTGAGTGATTGTTTAATTCTTCTAACTGGTAAAGCCTGGAAATTCAAGACTATTAGAGTTCTATGGGGACTATACTTAGAAATACTGGTCTAAAGTCACAGACATGGTGTCAAAGTTTTAAGAAAAAAATGCACTCTTTCAAATTATATAAATATATATATATTATATTTTTTTTCTGGTTTAGGTTAATGGCCTGTTGACAAATTTACCGACCACCTTGGCAGATGGGAAAATATCTATAACTCGAAGTGGTTTGACTGCAATAATTGAAACTAATTTTCACATGGTGGTCTCTTTTGATTATAACTGGCATGTTAAAGTTATGCTCCCAAGCAGCTATCATAACGCAGTATTAGGTCTCTGTGGAAATTTCAACCAAGATCCGAATGATGACCAGATGTCATCCAATGGTACACAGATGTCATTAATTAATGAATGGGCAGAGCACTGGTCGGTTTATGACCGAGACCCCTTCTGCTGGCACTCTTGTCCTGGGAACTGTCCAACTTGTGAGGAAAGTAAGAAACGTCTATATTCTGGAGAAGACTCCTGTGGTATCCTATTTAAAAATGATGGACCTTTCAGAGAATGCACATCAGAAATCTCTCCAAATAACTACTTTGACAGTTGCCTCTATGATGCCTGCACTTATAATGGAGCCCAAGTCATGGTTTGTCAAGCACTTGAGAGCTATGCCATCACCTGCTTGCAACAAGGAATTAAAATTTATGACTGGCGAACCCCATCTAACTGTCGTAAGTAAATTGCAATGTACTTGTTCACTCAGATTCAAGTAGGAAATATAGAAAGAGCAAAAGAATATAACGCATTCAAAGAAAACATTGAAATGGATACTAAACTAGAATTATAAATAATGCTTAAATGAAGGACTTCATATAAATGTATCAATATTGGTGGTTTATGGTTCTAGAAATGTTGATGAGAAATGATATATAGTTTGTCGCATAGGCACAGATAGAGAAGATATAACAGTTTATCATGTTAAAAATCATTTAAGTTGTCAAAGTCTAATGTAAATCCCAAGAAAGGCAAACCCCATAAATGTCCTGTATTCAACACACGTTTAGTATAATGTGTAATCTATAACTGCTATATTGTATAACCAGTATTGTAGTATATATATAAATAGAATATTCTTCCTGTTAGTTTCCCATATCTTAGCACGCTATATAGGTTGTTTTACGTCTTTTAGGAGCCTGTTGAAAAAACATTAATACAAATGTAGGACTTTCCTGCTTATTTTGATTTCTTTCTGTCAACCCTCATGTTTACAGTGTTTTTTTTTATTTTGTCCTGCATTTACATGTATTTTTGAATTAACCTTTTTACAATAATTGTTTTTTGTGGTGTATTATAAGAGGAGTCCAAGTGTAGCCAAGACCAGTAAAGGTTCTAATTAGTCTACTGAACGAAGGCAAACAACCCAGTTAAATAATAATAATATATACTAGCAGAATAATTAATGCCATACTACAAGTTATCGCATGCAAGCAGTGTTAATTATAATATGGTTAGATTAAGCCATGGTTGTACTAAGATAATGCTGTTATATTGATGACATATCATTACATAATTTCAGCTATGATTTGTGGAGAGAATAGCCATTATGAAGCCTGTGGGAATGCGTGCCCAGCAAGCTGCTCTGACAGACATGCACCCTCGAGGTGTGTTAAGCCGTGCGTCGAGACTTGTCAGTGTAATGATAAATTTGTACTTAGTGTTGACGCATGTGTGCCCATATCAGGCTGCGGATGCCAGTACAATGGACAGTATTACCAACCCAACCAAGAATTCTGGTCTGATACAAAGTGCAAGGTCCTTTGCAAATGTGATCCAACAGTGGGAATAGTAGTCTGCCAGCCATCCAGCTGTAAATCTGGGCAGACATGCATGGTTGACAATGGAGTACTTGGATGCTACCCTACCACATATACCACATGCACACTAAGTACTTGTGCTCCGTCAATCACATTTGATGGGAGAGCTTTTGAGTTTTTGGGAACTTGCATGTACCAGCTAGTTGGAGTAACATCAAATGACTCATCCCTAACGCATTTCACCATCAATGCTCAATATGTTATCCGTGGCAACAAAGCTGTATCACAAATCAAAGATGTCACATTCCAAATCCACAATCCAACTGAGCAACGTATAACAATAAGAAGGGCCATACCGAAACAAATAGAGGTATATAAATATATATAAATTTGTATATATAAAAATAAATGTACATCACCAGTTAAGAGAATTGTATGATAGCTGTTAAGATAAACTGTAAAGTATGCCCATTGAACTGGAGATAGGAGGTGGGAGGGACACCTAAAATAATGTCAAATTATAGATGCTTGCACGTGCTGCTGCCCTGTCCATTCCTAGAGGTCCCAGAGTAGGAGGATATTTTCTGTCATTGGTAACTTCTAAGATTGACTAGTAAAAATATGTACAAAGGATCAGCGCTAATATACTAGATCTTACAGAGATAAATGTAAGGCAGCACATCTGAAAAATAGGGCTTCCTCACAGGCCCTATAGAGTAGACAAAACTAAAAAAGGTGAAGGTGGAGGTGGTGCCACAGGTGGAATAAAATTTAAATAAATAAATAAACCTGATTATAAACTATACAAGCACATATACAAGACACTATATAAGAGAAAATACATACAAGATAAAAAACCAAAAAGAGTTTGAAATATGGATAATGAATAATAATCAAGAGTCCAAAGATTAAGTCCAAAAGAGTCTATGCCCGATAAATGCAGCAAAAAGTCCAAATAAAACCTTGTAAAAGAAGTCAATCACAATCTTTTACAATATTTTAATTGCTGTATTTTATTAAAGGTATTTTGGCCACTTTCAACTTGTGAGTAAGCCATTTTACTCTTTTATTTATTTTTACCTGGCACCAGAGTTTTTATTGTTCCAGTGAGAATTTTACTCTAAAGAATCCTTGGTGGGGATTATACCGCTCAAGTTTTATCCATTGAGCAGTCTGCCTGCTCAATAAAATGTGAGTAACCTCTTGGTATTTTATTACTTCACCTCTGGCTTTTATACAATAAGCACTATTATTGTTTCTTTTACATTTCATATGGTCCTTATACCAACAAGTTATCCATCCACTACAAAACTTCACGTATCCCATAAGTGGGAATTGTACCACTGTATGCCATCCACACTACAGCTAGTCTTATAGCTCTGGAAAACGTGAGTAGGACCATATAGACCTCTAGAAACAGTACTTAGTACCTATTGGGATATACTGCACCATTAGTTGCTGTCTTTTTATTTTTTTCATATGGATTTCACGAATATCCCATGTCCATACGTTACTGAGGAATACTTCCCCTTTTGTGATTGTGACTGACTTCTTATACAAGGTTTTATTTGGACTTTTTTTGCTGCATTTATCAGGCATAGACTCTTTTGGACTTAATCTTTGGACTCTTGATTATTATTCATTATCCATATTTCAAACTCTTTTTGTTTTTTTTATCTTGTATGTATTTTCTCTTATATAGTGTGTTTTATATGTGCTTGTATAGTTTATAATCAGGTTTATTTATTTATTTATATTTTATTTCACCTGTGGCGCTGCCTCCACCTTCACCTTTTTAATATTGACTAGCAGCCTACGACGTTCAATGGAAAGCTATGTTTAAGTGCCAGCAATGGTCCAGGTTTTGTCAGTATCCCAACTTGAACAGAATAGGGAAATGGTTAAATCTTGCACTGTTGATGTGCATCAAGGACTGAATATTGAACCCCTGGCATTAAAGTAAATGTGGAGGAAATCAAGAAAAAATAACAGGAATAATTGTATCTGTATTTTTGCTAACAGTTTGGCTATAAATCTAGCTATAAAGTGTCAAAGTATCATGTTTATAATAACAAGCATTTTTTTTATATGTGGAACTACTTTTTCTATGTGTCTGGTAACTAAAGTATTAGTAGGGTCACCTTATTTATGTTTGGTGAAATGTCTAATTTACTTTTTTGTAATAAAAGGCACAACAAATTATATATTTTTCACATTAGTTGATCTTAAAATCAGCTATTTTGATTATATTTTTCTCATAGGTAAATGGAATTTTAACTGAACTGCCATACATACAGAGTGGAGACAATTCTCCGAAGATCACTGTGCACTACAATGGAATTGTAACTCAAATTATAGTAGATATTGGCCTCGCTGTTTCTGTTGACCATTTATTTTCTACACGCGTGACCCTACCCAGCACCTACACAGGGGCAGTAAACGGCTTGTGTGGTAACAACAACCAAGATCCTGCTGATGATTTAGCCATAGAGGAAGGACTTATAACCAGCTCCGTGGTAGAATTTGTAAAATATTGGAAATTGGAAGAGATATCAGGATGCACTACAGAAAATCCTATAAACCCACCATGCACCGATGCACAGAGAGAACAATACAAAGCTGAAACATATTGTGGAATGATTTCAAATGCCAATGGACCCTTCAGCCTGTGCCATGGTGTGATTGACCCAGTTCCGTATTTGGAAAACTGTGCACATGCTGCCTGCAAGTACGGAGGATACCGGCCTTTCCTCTGCAATAGCATAGCATCTTATGTTTCAGAATGCCAGAGCAAAGGTGTTAAGATCAAGGAATGGAGGTCTCCACTTTTCTGCCGTATGTAAAATCTTGCATTACTACATAACACAGTTTATTTTTTATTGTAGAGTTAAGGTGCTGGCTCTATATATATTAAGTGATAGCAATGTACAATAATAGTTGCAGGATTGCAGAAATTATAAGAAGAATGCTTCTTATGTCAGCTCTTCATCGCAATGATATATGCTTTTATAATTTCTACATTTACATACTTCTTCTCATCGTTGTAATTTTACTTTGGGTATATTTGGGTAGTCATCCTAAATATAATAACACTCACAAAACCTCACTTTATAGGTCTCTGTTATTTTTATTTGAACAATTTGGGATAATTTCCTCCAATATCCTTCAAAATCACCTGGCTTATGTCTCACTGAAGGTAATTTAGGAACACACTGCTTGGAGTCACCCTAACAAAAAACACATAATTATGAAATTATTTCTATTAAATACATCATTTCTTAAATGAATAAGTGCATATCACTGCATTTCCTGTAGCTGTTTTGATAATACTTCCCGTCCTTGCTTAAGAATATCTTTGCTCACACACTTTTTATTGTGACTGAGCAGTTTAGCATCTACTGATTTATATCACCTGGAATAAATTATTGCAATAATTAGACTTAATATCTCCTGTGCAATGATTGAAGGGTGGAAGGCAGAAATGTAAATTAAAACAAATACCAGCTTATAAAAGTATGAGATTTTAAGGCAAATCAAAGATATGAGTTTCTCTTTGTTACAATCTAATATATCCTAAAATGACACATTAACATAGACAGCATGTTTAATATCTAATTTCTCTGCTGATTGTCTTTTCAGCTATGACCTGCTCACAGAACAGTCATTATGAACTGTGCGGAAATGGCTGCCCCAACACCTGCTATCGACTTTCACCTCCATCCCACTGTGTGCCGTCCTGCACTGAGGGGTGCTACTGTAATAATGGGTTCATACTAAGTGGACAGGATTGTGTCCCCATCGCACAATGTGGATGCGTCTCTAATGGAACATACTTCAAAGCTGACGAGAAATTCTACACAGATAGTCGCTGCCAGGAGATATGTAGCTGTGGGCAGAACAATGCTCTCATCTGCCAAAACCACGTGTGCGGGCTTAACGAGGAATGCAAAGTAACACAAGGCCGTCTGGGTTGCCAATCGAAAATTGTTGGCCGTTGTACAGTACAGGGAGGTCAGCATTATAAAACCTTTGATGGGCACGAGTTTGATTTCCATGGCACCTGCACCTACACTTTGGTCAAATTTAATAATGGCAAACATAATGTCTCAGTGACAATGGAAAATGCACCCAATTCAAGGGGGTTTGTCTCAGGCCCCAAATCAGTCACTGTGCAAATAGGAGAAAATAATGTTCGTATGGAGATTGGTAGCGAGTGTACACTTATGGTGAGTTGGTCTCTGTTTGGAATCCATTTTCCATTACTGCTTAGTATTTCTTACGGTTGCTGTGGTTATGAATGATTTCTATTTTACAGATTTCCATAAAGTAAGTATGTCCGCCTTCCTATCATTCTTTTTTTAGATAGACATTTTTCCAGTTATCATCCATGGTATAAATAAACCTGTGGCTGTGGCCACCTTTTTGCTTTGCTAGTGCCAGATATAAGATGCAGTCTTTGTCAATACTTAGATAATATATTGTAAATTATTATTCCCCCCACATTCTCACTCAGATTAACACTGCATGTATACACAGTATCTCTCCAAGATACACTTCAAGTCCAAAAAGATGCAAATACTGATCATCTGTAGGTGCAATTCGCATACAAGTATTTTATATTTTCCCTACTGCTTGCCTCATTCCCATAAATCCTTCATTAATGTATCAGAACTCCCCGTACTCCGACCGAGTAACTTCCGTTGATGGATGCTTCCTAGCTTGCACCGAAGACCACAAGTACCACACCGGACACCACAACTACCACAGACTCCACAACCGCCGTAGCTTAACTGGAGTCTCGCCGTCTTCCTTCCACCCTGGATCAGCTTCTGTCTTCCAGGACCGTGTGGAAAAGACCTCTCCTCCAGGTGAGCATATCAGGAACAAGCGCTTAAAAGAGCTAAGTGATTAAAGCTCAGGGGAGTATACAAGTATAGCAATCCCCAGTGTGAATATAGCAGTTCCCCTCCAATCACGAGACAAGACTACGTGTTGAGGGTCAAGAAGATCTCTTTAATTTGCACCAAAGGGCCTTCTTTTATGCAGTTTTTACAGATATAGTACCGCCCACAGGGTTTTGCAGAACAACCAATAACACATGTAATATACAATAAAACACTCCCCTTCATTCCCACACAATTCTCCCCTCTGTCTGTGATATAATTACTGAACACAATGGGTTAATGTAATTATCACAGTCAGGAAAAATATACTTTTTATACATACACTGTAACTTTACAACTACACATCCAATATTCATAACAGCAACATATTATTATTCAGCACACTTCAAATATAAACATATCCAAAATTCAGGTGATTCCTTCCAGTGGTTAAAAAGTTAGTCGGAAGTCCTTTATGACCGACCAACATTTCCATGCCCAAAACAGTTCCATAGATTTGGTCTGTGAGGTCGGTCAATTTCAGACTGAAAAAAAATCGCCGAACAGGATAGTCTCTGCGGCTGAAAAATCAGTTTGGAGAAGGTAAGGGTCAGCGGTGTTCCTGGAACAGTGTAGCCAATTTCAGTTCCATGAATTTGGCTACACACACCACTGACCGCGTTCGGTTTAAAAAAGATGGCCACCGCCACGTGTTCGTTTGCACAAACTGCGGCCACCCAGCGGTCTGCAATTTACCTACAGCAGGCTCCCAGCCTGGGAGGTAAATTGATGGTTCTGGGTGGTCTGCCTGTGAGGTACTTGGCTCAGTAAGCCCCATTTACTGAACCAAGTGGGAAGAAGCCATGAGCAAAGTATTTTAACCAAGTCTGGGGACACTGGGGACACAGGCTTAAAGGGGCAGTGTCCCAAACAAGTCTGGGACACCGTCTTAAAGGAGCATTGTTCTGATTTTCACTGTTGCAAAAATGTGCTTAAAGAGCCAGCACCAGTCCCATAAAAGTCCATAAGCCCCAATACAGTTCTTAAAGGGTCATACACAGTCCATTACAAGTCCATAGTCCCAAATAGCATTCTTAAAAGGCCATACACCCCAGGGACATAGTCACAGGGGAGGAGGCAGGCAAGCAGGCCTCATCAGGACCAAGTGGAGAAGGGCACTTCGTCACAATTAATATTTACTGGGATGTGGCAAAACATCTTTTACCAACCCAAAGTTACTCTTCAAAATGTCAAGAACATAATAACTGGACATGTTTAAAGGTGTTGAGAAATTTCATTGATTATGGATATGTCTATATATTGAGTGTGCAAATTAATAATGTCTTTTCAGAGCTTTACACCAGCTCTAGTATGAAAGGCATACAGTGGTACAATCCCCACTTACAGGATATGTGAAGAATGGTTTCAATGATGTATGGACCAAAAAATAAAAAGAAACAATAGTGCTCACTGTATAAAATCAACCAGAAGAATAACAATGAGAATATTACTCACATTTACCAGAGCAAACAAACTGCTCTATAGATAGGGCGCGGGTGGAATAATCCCTGACTAAGGATTTTTTGAGTAGTTCTTACTGGGGGTAAAATCAGGATACCAGGCAATAAAATAAAAGAATAATAACAGAGGAAAAAGAGTAAAATAGCACACTCAATGTAAAAGTAGCCAAAATACCTTTATTAACACAGTAGTAAATTAAAAGTCCACAACGCGTTTCGCCACAAGGGGCTTCTTTGCGTGTACATAGTATTAGCCTTGCACATGTGGGTTTATATAGGGCCCAAACAATCAGCAAATTATCTCCAGGTAGAGAAAATATTTCCAAGTTATAACTGTAACCAAACACATTAAAATACATAACTCATCTTTCACATAACTGAACCCCCATATCGACCTATCCCCAGATAGCTTGGATCTGAGTGCTCAATATATCCAAAAAGCACTCAGATCCCCTGAACACAGTCAAATCGCCATGGTGTTAAAGGGTTGTCACCGACAGTTCGGCATAAATCTGTCCAGAATTAGCTATCAGGGTCGGTCTAGTTCATGAGTTCTTAATGTACCGAACGACGCTGTGTTTGTATGAACAGAAACGAAGGGATGGAAGTTTGAAAGTCCCAGTTTTGAAAACAGTTCCATGCGGTCGACGACAAAACACTGCTGGGCGCTCGACAGTTTAAGATGGCCGCCGCCACATGTTCGTTCATATGAATGGCGACCACCCAGCAATTAGTCAATTAGCTGCAGTTACCCACAGATTCTGGGAGGTTAACAGGCTGCACACTCCCATTGCGTGTGGTCTGGCTGTTCGTTAGTTTGTTCGGTAAACGAACACCATAAGCCTGTTGAACTGTAGAAGGGAAAGAGGCATGAACAAAGCCTTTCCCTAGTCCTGAATACAGGTCTCATACATGGGCCATTGTCACAGGCAAGAGGCTGGCAAGCAGGCCTCTCCAAATCCCAGTGATGAAGGTGCTTTCGTCACATATACCAATTGGAGTGCCCTTGTGGCCTCCAATACGTTGAGATGACCTCACAATGTTTAAAAACAAGATTGGCAGAACATTTCCACAATATTATCAACCACTCTATATCGGAACATTTTCTGATAAAAATCCAAAGCATCTAAAATGTATAGGAATTAAGAAATGTAAAATCCCTTGGAGAGGTGGAGATCTTAAAAAGAATTTAGACCAAAAAGAAATTAATTGGGGTTTTAATTTAAAAACCCTGTCCCCAAAAGGCCTGAATGTAGATTTTTTACTTTTTATCTTTTTATACCTTTCTAAGAATTTATCCTATTCCTTCCTATAAATACATTTTTTACCCTCCTTTAATATGGTTTATTCCTAAACATATACATTTTAAGTTTAACGCTTACACATTTTTATAAAAAAATAGCTATAATTAACTGTACATACTTTCTCAGTTTTATGTATCTACAGTTTTATATATAACTGATTTTATTTTCATTTTTTTTATTGCAACATTCTGTATATCCTATAGTGGTCTAAGGCAGCGGTCCTTAAACTTTTTAAACAGCCAGTTCACGGACCCTCAGGCAATGTTGGGGGCCGGACTATAAAAAATATTAACGAATTCCTATGCACACTGCACACACACGCATAGGGACATAAATACATAAACAGACAGACACAGACATACATACAGATACACACAAACATACATACAGACTTAAATACATACACAGCTAATTTTGCAGGAGGATGGCTGTGGCTGATAGGAGTTGGCATGGCTCCCGCAGCCTGTCTTTCTTCCATCCCATGCCATCACTTCCTCCCAGCACTTCTTTGCGGCTGTGATTTTTTTAAAGGGGCCTGGTCGCGCTATTGCACGGCTGCAGCGCTGACCGGGCCCCTGAAGATATAGGGCCCATCGGGTGGCCCTAAGTGCTGGGGCTAGGTTCCGGACCCTGGTGGAACCCAGCCCCTGACGACCCCTGGTCTACAGTATTAAGAGTATATATTTTTATGTATATGTATATTCCTGTGCAATGTATTCTCAGCTGTTGCTAACCCTGCCCACAATGCCTGGGCATATTGAGTCTGCCCACCTGATCATAATCCCTCGTTAGATAAATTGAATTGAGATGGAGGGATTTGAACTTGCAGCCCTCAAGTTATGAGCATATTCTGCATGTGGTACATGGGCTCACTGAGCTGTTTATCCTGCTCAAATTTATGCTTGCTGAGTCCACTATGTAACATTGTAAAATCGTTTTTAGTTTACCTACTTCTTGTTAATATGTCCTTTGACCTTTTTAAACATGGTGTCAAATAAGACACCATTTTCAATTTGTTGATTGTTTGGGCCCTATATAAACCCACATGTGCCAGGCTAATACTATGTACACTTGAAGAAGTCCTTTGTGGCGAAATGCGTTGTGGACTTTTAATTTACTACTGTGTTACTAAAGGTGTTTTGGCTACTTTTACATTGAGTATGCCGTTTTACTCTTTTTACTCCGTTATTATTCTTTTATTATTTTATTGTCTGGTATCCTGATTTTACTCCCAGCAAGAACTATTCAAGAAATCCTTAGGTGGGGATTATTCCACCTGCACCCTATCTAGTGCCAGAGCACTTTTCTCTTATATTCTCTAATATCCTCTCCATCTTTCCATTTACGGACCGCATCTGATATCCCAACAAGAAAATTTTCCTTGAACAAATTCGTGATTGCTCCTCCGGAAAACTGTATACCATCATTTTTTTTATTGGACTTTCTATCTTGGACATATATTTTTTATATGTTATTTTCTATATATCTTATTTTCTATTTATTTGTTTTTAAGGCATCTTATGCTGGTTATAATATACTCACCAGTGTCTTTTTAGAGTGGCGCTAATCCTCTACACTTTTTAATAATTTGTACTTGTCTCACTACTATAAGGATAGAGGGATTCCCTTCCTTTTGGAGGAAAGCTGTCTTAATTTCACTTTTCCCAGTTTGGGACCCTTTACTACTGTTCCCCGTGTCTGAACTTTAAAAACAAACAAACGCTGATTTCAAGAGAAATTGGCACTTTTATCAATATACTTGGCAATCAAGCTAACGGACAGGAGGACTTCCTGAATCACTCTGCTTGAGCGATCATTCAAGTGGAAGTGAAGAGTTATAATAGGGAAACATTCGTCTACTGAATGAGAAGCATTCTACTGGAACATTGCTGCCATATGCCATACATGCAACAACTTTTTTTCCAGAAGAGGAAGGGGAGACTAATATTGATGACAGTCTCCCTGGGGCAGATCATGGGCCACTTGTTTAAAAGGGGAATTATTATTTTTTTTCTGTGTGTTTCACAACTGTGTGTACTTGTTATTTTATCAGATATTAAAACCAAATAAGAATGTTTCTTTACCGGTCACAATATCTACTCAAGACAAGTGTTTATAATGATCAAGAATATATAATGTCATTAAAGAAATGACAAGAATAATTCTTCTTATGTCATCTCTTCATCGCAATGATATATACTTTTATAAATTCTACATTTACATACTTCTTCTCATCGTAATGTTCAATTTTACTTTGGGTATATTTGTGCAGTCATACTAAATATAATACCCCACTACCTGAGATGATGATTAGGTGACTAATATTCTGTGCCTCTCCAGTAATAGCTCATCTACTTTTCTTTTCACATAGATAAAAAATGAGAAGTATAACCTGCCTTATGAGTCACGTAATGGTCAAATCCGGGTCAACAAAGAAGGAAACAATATGATTTTCAGGAGCTTTGGGATTAATCTTACATTTTCATATACAAGAAAAATTAAAGTAGAGCTTCTCAACAGCTTTGCTATGTCTAATGAGGTTCCCAACTCCTTTGCTAGGTCTACTATGGTTGAAAATTCCATTGCTAGGAATACTGAAGGCATCTGTGGAGATTTTAATGGTGAATTATCTGATGATTTCCATTTTCCAAATGGCAGCATTGCTAATGATCCAGCACAGTTTGGTTCATTCTGGGCTGTTGCTGGAGACTGGACAGATTGTAAAGGTTGTAAGGGGACATGCCCACAATGTTCCCCAGAGGAAGAAAAAAAGGCCAGTTCAAACTCAAAATGTGGGCTGATAAGAGACCCCCTAGGACCATTTAAAGATTGCCATGATGTAGTGTCTCCAGACACCTATCTGAAGGACTGTGTAAATGATATGTGCACCGGAGATGTTGGAGACCAAGCATTATGCAGGAATTTACAAGCATATGCTGAGGAATGCCAGGATGCTGGAGCCATCGTTGATGGACTTTGGCGGAACATTACCAGCTGCTGTAAGTTGTTCTCTATTCCTTTTTCAAACCGTATATGGAGAGATTGTTTTAACATATTGCACTTACCTAGAGATGTTTGCCTGTTTGTCTGTTTGTCTGTTTGTCTTGTGATGGTTTCCCTATAGGTGGCTTGGAGGTGCACATGGAGCTTTCTGGGTTTTTGTCAAGGTAGTACATGATGTCCAGAGATGGAATGCTGGATGAGGGAGAAGTGCAGCAGAAGCTTGAGATGTCTGCAACTCCCTGGAGCAGCAGAGGCATTACAACACAGCTGAGAGAAGCTGAAAATAAAAAAAAATTAAAATCTTTATTTGAATTTTAACAGTATAAAACATACATGACACATTAAATCTACAAAGACAGCAACAAGTCTAAAAGTACAAAAAATAAAAAATCACACTGTCTGGGGAAAGATAGACACTTCAGTGGGCCCTCAAGCGTGCTTGGAACACCTCCCTATAAGAGATAGTAGTTTACAGAGATTCCAATATTTAACCATTTATCCCATACGCCAAAGCAGCTGCGTACATACCGCGGTAGCAGGGGTCACAGCTGCGACCGGGCCCGGCACTCCAGGGGGCCCGGCCGCCCTGCGGACCCCTTCGACCGCGTACCAGGCCTACTGCCACATTTTGCGTCACGGCCGGAAGGGGGCCATCTAGTGGCCCATGCTGTCAGGGCCACCCGATGGATATGGATCCCTTAATAGCCCTTCAAATATTTTCCCAGTCACAGAAGTTAAGCTCACAGGTCTACAATTTCCAGGCAAGGATTTTGAACCCTTTTTAAATATAGGAACAACATCTGCCTTCCTCCAATCCTCCAGTGCAATACCTGAAACAAAAGAATCTTGAAAGATTAAATACAGAGGTTCACTTATTTCCCCAGTTAGCTCCTTAAAGGGACACTCCATGCACCCAGACCACTTCTGCCCATTGGAGTGGTCTGGGTGCCCTTATTAACCCTGCAAGTGTATTATTGCAGTTTTTATAAACTTCAATAATTACCTTGCAGGGTTAAGTCCTCCCCTAGTGGCTGTCTATCAGACAGCCACTAGAGGGACTAGAGGGACTTTCGGGTTCTTAAAACCCGAAAAGTGGACGCTGGACTTCCTCACGCTATACATGAAGACCTCCAGCATTACCGGAATCCCCATATGAAATCGTTAAATAATGCTTTCCTATGGGGAGGTCTAACGCGCGCAGCCATTGCATGGGTGGAGCCTGAACCAGCTCTGAGGGACATCGTCGCTGGATTCAGGTAAGTTACTGAAAGGGGTTTTAACCCCTTTAACCTCTTCAGCAACATGGGATGGGTGGTGGGAGAGAGAGGGGTACTTCAGGAACCTGAAGTGCCAGGAAATTGGATATGTTTCTGGATAGTCTCTTTAAGTATTCGTGGGCAAATATTGTCAGACCCCAGAGCTTTTATTTACATAAATTTTCTTTAACTGCTGTAGCACCTTGTCTCGAGTCATCCAATCACAAATTATCTGCAGGTTTTTTGCAGCAATCATTTGCATATCTCTTGTCATAGGATCCTCATTAACCCCTTAGTGACCAGACCGTTTTTCAATTTTCTTACCGTTAAGGACCAGGGCAGTTCTTACATTTCTGCCGTGTTTGTGTTTGGGTGTAATTTTCCTCTTACTCATTTACTGTACCCACACATATTATTTACCAGTTTTCTCACCATTAAATGGTCTTTCTAAAGATGCCATTATTTTCATCATATCATATAATAATACTAAAAAAAGAATTATAAAACATAATGCAAAAACGTAAAAATAATGTTTTAAACTTTGACCCCCAATATCTGTTGCACATCTACAACCACCAAAAAACACCCATGCTATATAGTTTCTAAATGTTATCCTGATTTTAGAAATACCCAATGTTAACATGTTATTAGCTTTTTTTTTTCAAGTTATAGGGCAATAGGTACAAGTAGCACTTTGTTATTTCCAAACCATTTTAAAAAACTTTTTTACGCAGGTTACGTTGTAACACTGATATTTGTCAGGAATCCCTGAATAACCCTTCACATGTATATATTTTTTAAAAGAAGACAACCTAAGGTATTAAATTTGGGGTATTTTTACTTTTTTCATGCTCTTTTAATGCAACCATTTTTACCGCAAATCTATGCCAAATTTGAAAAAAATTAAATAATTGGTGATTATTTTGACACACATAGCCCTTTAAGAATACATGTACTGAGAACTTTAAGGGTTACTGCCAAAGAACACCCCAATATGTGTTCAGCAACATCTCCTGAGTACAGTGATGCCACCCATGTACAGGTGTATCAGGTTGTCTGGGGGCTAAAATACCTTATTTGGAGGGTGCGCATTCCTGTTTTCCAACTTGGACTTTTAACAGCTGGTCATCATGCACCCATGTCCCATTTGGGCCATTTTTGAAGCCGGCCAATGTAATTTACCTCCATCAAACAATATATTTTTGAATGGTAGACACCCTAGGGTATTTCAAACACTTTCCATGCACTAATAATACCACCAGGTCTTGTCAAACTTTTACATACATAGGGTACATACATAGGGTAAAAATAACCAAAAAAAAACTGGACGGCAAATATAAAAAGAATAAAACAAATATGAACCAGTGTGTGAAGCAGTCCCCAATGCTGAGTCCAGGCTGTCCAGGGCAATCAGGACAGTGATATACAGTATGTTTTTTCTGCCCCCTCTTAAAACAGACTCTGCATCTTTTTTGGAGATTCTGCTTTGCCGCGGTAGGGGGGATTTCAAAAATAAAATGTGCAGCCAAAACTCTGCTCTCTCCCATCACCACCTGATCTGGAGCTGAAACTGTAAAAAACTTAGTTGCATTCCGGGGTCTGCTTTTTTGAACAACAAAACGTTGTGGGTTGCAATCTGCATTAAGTAAATTGCAACCTTTTTTGTAACAGGCCCTTGTCTTCCATATAGTTAGGTAGGGCTGCAGCAGCTGATCTGCCAGATCAACCCCACCCATATGCCGGTTATAGGCCTTGATGCACATTGGCTTCCTTGTGCTCTCAGCTCTGCCACGTACAGTGACCTCCACAGTCCTCTCTGTGTGGATGGTGGTAAGAAGGTTCACATTCTTTTTGTCTCTGTACTTAACTGCCAACAGCTCCTCTTGGCACAGAGCAGAGGTCTTCCCCCTTCGTAACCGAGTGCGTGCAAATTGTCCCGGGAAACCTGCGCAGTTCTTTTTATTATTGTACCGCAATCTACTGTATCAAAACAGTACAATAGCTTGAACAAAGGGACACTTGTATAAATATTTTCTGTATACAAGTGGTACCCTTTGTTCATCAGGGGGAATATCGGGTCTCAGACCATCTTGCCACTGGTCCCATTTGTAATGGGCAACCTGGAGGGTCAAGGTGGCTATCCTTTCCCTCATACACCCAGAAGGTCTGAGTATACCCATTCTCGCTATCACAGAGCTTATACATCTTTACACCATACCTGGAGTGCTTGGGAGGAATATACTGCTTGAATCCCAGCCTTCCCTTAACCCCTTAAAGACCAAACTTCTGGAATAAAAGGGAATCATGACATGATTCCTTCCAGGTGTATAAGCCTCTGCAAACCTGGCAGCGAAGTGGGTAATCAGAGGATGGATTTTATACAGCCTGTCAAACTGGGGATGCTCCATAAGGGGGCACAGGCTGTTGTCGCTGAAGTGCATGAAATGTAAAATTCTTTCATACTTATTCCTCGACATACACTGGGAGTAAATGGGGGTAGAGCAGATGGGGCTACTCCTCCAGTAGGAGCGGATGGAGGGCTTCTTTATGAGAATTTTTTTACATTCTGGCACATCGATGGGGGCCCATTGTTGCTTTGCCAAAAAAGAATCAGGCTTTGCAGCATCTAACTGATTGGCATATAAAATAGTTTGGGCGACAATGTTCCCCAATAAATCATCGCCCAGAAACACCTCCATAAACTGAGGGCTAAATCCTGTGACATCCAAATTAATGCCAGGATTTGCAGTAAAGGATGGGATGTCAGGCCTCTTGCAATGAGGCACTACCCACTCCTCAGCAGCACTGCCAGCTGTAGCAGCACGTCTCCTTCTGGCAGGGGGCCTAGCAGGCACAGATAAAACATCACCAGATACATCACTAGCAGCAGACACTGTATCTAGTGATGATGTATCTGAGCACCTGGCAGATGCGTCAGACTCTAACGCAAGGATGGCATACGCCTCCTCAGCACTATACAACCTCTGTGACATGATCACAATCACTTTACTTAGTGCTCTGTCTTAGATGATGTCATCTTCCGGCTCCGGTATCAGTACACGATGCGCGAGGGAGCTGAAGAGGGAGCACTCAGGGGAGAGTGCTCGCTCGTGCGCCCGCCAGCCTGCCCGCCGGGTGACACCACTGGACCCCAGGGAATCCCCACATCACTCCCAAAGGTAGGGAGGCTGGGGGATTAATTTTTTTTTTAAAGTGTGTGTTAGTGTGTGTGTGTGTGTTAGTGTGTGTGTGTTAGTATTAGAGTGTTAGAGTGTGTGTGTGTGTTAGTGTGTTACTGTGTGTGTCTGTTGGTGAGTCTGTTTGGTGTCTTAGTGAGTGTGTGTTTTGTAAGTGAGTGTGTGTCTGTCTGTCAGTGAGTGTGTATGTATGCCTGTCACTGAGTGTGTGTCTGTCAGTAAATGTGTGTCTGTTAGCTAGTGTGTATGCATCTGTTCGTGAGAGTGTGTGTGTGTGTCTGTTAGCTAGTGTGTATGCTTCTGTTCGTGAGAGTGTGTGTGTGTGTGTCTTCAGCACTTACCTTTCTCCAACGCTAGATTCACTTGGCGCTGGTGATCTCTCCGCCCCAATCCGACTCTCAGCTCCGAATGCGCATGCGCGGCAAGAGCCGTGTGCGCATTCAAACCACCCATAGGAAAGCATTACTCAATGATTTTCACAGTGAGAATCGCGGAAGCTCCTCTCAATGAGACAGCCACTAGAGGCTGGATTAACCCTCAGTGAAACATAGCAGTTTCTTTGAGGTTAAAACTCAGGGACCTGGGGACCTCAGAGTTAAAACTAGAGGGACCTGGCACCCAGACCACTTCATTGAGCTGATGTGATTTGGGTGTCTGTAGTGGTCCTTTAAGTGTGTATGTATCTGCATGCACTGGCGTACATACCGCGTAGGGGTCGCAGCCCTGCGACCAGATGCCTGCCGCCATGTGTTGCGGCCCTGGCCCGCGCAGAGTAAGTGTGGGGGAGGAGGGCCCATGGATTATTTTTCGCACCGGGGCCCCATGGGTTGTGTGTACGCCACTGTATAGGATGACTCTGATTTATCCGATTTAAATGCTTTAAATGCCCTTTTTTTATTTTTAATCTCTTGTTTTACTTCTCTACTAAGCCACATTGGTTTTAATTTGTTTCTTTTATATTTATTACCCAATGGTACATACTGAGAAATGTACCTTTCTAATATTTGTTTGAATAGTTTCCATTTTTCCTCAGTGTTTTTATCACTAAGGAGTTTATGCCAGTCGATATGTTGTAGAGCAGCCCTAATCTTATTGAAATTGGCTGGTTGTGGCGAAACCGACCTTGCCACTGGGCATTGGAGAAGACTGATTGCCAGCCTCCTGCCATGTGACTATGGCCCCTGGGATGTATTGCCCTTTAAAGACATGATTTGGGCATAATGGATTTGTGTTGTGCTTCTGCTGGCCCTTTAAGAACCATCTGGGGACATACTGTGGAGTTACTGGGGGCCACCATTTCATGTATCAGAGGCACATGGTGAGAACAACGGATGAAGGATATGGTGAGAACAATGGATGGCGGCCATTTTAACTCACAGACACTGTTTGGACTTTTCAACACGGTGCCATCTCGCCGGTATTTGGTGCACAGAGACATCGTGCAGTGGTTTTGGACTATACAACAGGGGACACATTATACAGTAATTGTTTTTCATATAACCTGTATATGTTCTGTGGAATCTGCATTAAACTGTATCTTCCAAAGTACTGAACGGATATGTGGTTCACCCAGATCCCCCGCTTCCGAGGATATACTTTTATGGGGTTATTGCATGTTTTGAGGTCCCTGTGATGTTTTTTATGATACTGTATTTCTCTGCCTGTGATAATTAGATTAACTGTTGTGTTCAGTAATCATATCACAGGCAGAGGGGAGGATTTTGTGTGGGAGTGTGGCCAGCATTAAACCAGATCGTTTTACCCCTTCATGAAGTCTCGACTCATGTTTGGGGGTTTGGGAGCTATAATCATTATTTTGTCTGTATTGACCAGGGATTTCGGGAGAAGCTACAAGGATCCATTATAGCCCCTTATAACACATGTAAACGTTGACCATATATTTGCGAGTGAGGAATCAGGAGTAATGTTCTCTTTAAAATAAAGGACTTTTTTGAAATGGCCCCTTTTCTTGTGAGATTCTAATAGGAATTCCATTAATTTCCATTCAGGTCTTATCTTTTTAAATTAGTCTTTTAAATCCATATAAGTCATATTGTGATCAGACCAGGAAATTTCTATAATTTGCGTTTGCTTAACTTTTCCAGCTGTGTCAAAGTCGGTCAAAATCGATTCTCGAATAAGACAAATGAGTCTTAGAGAAACACGTATAATCCCTTTCATTCGGGTGGTGGGTTCGCCATGTATCTAGAAGGGCAATACTGTGAATCAAGGAGCGAAACCGAGTTGCTGTCCATCTTTAAGTTCTGTCCATCTCCATGACATAATTGAAATTGCCTAACCAAATTACTGAACCTTGTTTTATCTTGTCTAGTCTATCCCAAAAATTTGATACAAAATAAATTGCCATACGATTAGGTGCATATATGTTGACTAAGGTATAAGCAATTTTATTCATTATGCTTACTATAATTAAATATCTAACTCCTTCATCGTATTCAACCTATTTAATAATTAAATCTAAGGATTTGGAGAAAAAGAAGGCATCGCCTCTTTTTTTTCTTGTCAGTCAGGATTAAATAATTGTGGAAAAAACTTTTGCGATAAAAATGAATTTACCTGCCTATTTCCAGTGGGTCACCTGGATGGCACATATATCAACTTTTTCAGTGTTTGGAGCAAAATTGATCTCTTAAAATGGGAGTTGAGGCCCTGTACGTTTAGTGTAACGAACTTAACCATTATCAAATATTTGGGGCCACCCTCTCTTGCCCAGAGCAAGCATTTAACTGAACAGTGTTAGAGAAATTAAACCATTGAGCAAAGTAAATAAAAAATAAATAAAAAAATAGAACACTAAAAAAATAAAAACTTCAATTCGACATAGGTTGTACAACATTTCCTAGAGAAAATCTCCAGATTAAGGTTCTTAAAGAGTACCCTCCTTGTCAAGCCAACCCCAAAACATATGTTTTGTCCTGATGAAAGTTCCACGTGGGAGCTGAAACGTTGACTTTTTAAATGGATTGAATAAAAGCTAACTTTTATTTGAAAATCTCTATAAAGTCCCTGGAGTGCAGTCATTTCTGCTATGTCTACATGATCCTTGCCAGACCAGCACCGGACACCACAGGATTACACCAGGAGTGCAAGCCCTCGCTATTTATATCTTATACTGTATATGTTTTGGGTCAAACCAAGTGTTTGCCTGAGTATCTGTCCCCTGTCCAGATTGAATAGAATGCGTGCACGCTCTGAAGTAAATCACACTGAGACACAGGTTTCACGCCAATGAAAGACTTCGGAATGTTTAATCAGGGGGGCGGGGAGCCCCTATAAAGGCAGAAATACATCATATGCAGAAAGCAAGATAACAGAGAGAATACGGTTTTAATTGGTAAATGCTAAGTGTCTTATCTAATGTGCCTCCCCCAGGATGTGATGTCATGAACATTCTAGGTGCAGCTCTCTGGAGGGAGAAGCCATCTTAATACATGACATTCTTTACATTCTTTACACGATGGGAGGGGTGCGGCCATTTTGAGTAGTTAAAGAACACACAATGGGAGGGGGTGCTCTATGCTCTAGCAGCCATTTTAAATGAATAGACATTTTACTAACATTAATTTCTATCCATAACATACATATATAATGTCATACTAAGTGTATTTTTATATTAATATATATATATAAAAACTATATATATATAGTGTGTGTGTGTGTAAGTATATATATATATATATATATATATATATCAAAATTACCGGCACTTTTGGGTTTAGTTCATCCAATTTATTGTTGGTCAATTCAAGAAGCAAAGTCAATGTTTCAGCTCCCGATCGGAGCTTTCATCAGGACACAAAGAACATTTAACATTGCAAGTAACAAACATATATAGGACATCTATACCAATCAACACTCACCGTATCAGCTGTATCACGTATCCCTGATGTCCGGCGTGGACTCAGCGCATTTGCGCATGTGTGCCTCCAATCTGAACTTCCATGTCACGTGACAGAAGGGGCCAAGTCTCAAACCCAGAAGCGTCACAGCACCTAGGCAACCGCTGATACATTCAGCCTTGGTTGCCGCTGTGTAAACTACAACCATTGGGAGAACACCTCCTTTCAAAGAAAAAAAGCCACCCACTCCGTGGTGTAGGGTTCAGTTCATTTTGCTATGGCAACAAGTTCCAGCCGTGCATAAGAGTATACGTAAAAACCAACACATACAATTATATTTGCAAGTGGTTACAAATAATAACAAATGCCAATTTCATCTACAGGGTATCAAAGTATCTTATAATAGCTGTTATATTTGTGAACATTATGTGAACAAGTTTAATATTGATTCAACTAAAAAAATAATTCATAAATCAAATAATAATCCAGTGTTACTGGGTTTTTTAGTACCCAGTATGTGATTTTAACACTATGTGTTTAAAGAAATATTTATTTATAGTTCCATAGTATATGAGATAATAATCTCTTTAAATGTGAAAGATATTATTTCATTTGTAAGTGTGATTCTGTGTATATTATTCCATGTAATCTAATATACGTGCTGAATAAAAAAGGGCTGAAAAATAGTTAACCCCCAAAAAATTTCAACAAGCTAATAAAAGAAAAACAAATACTATAAAAATATTAGATATCCCCGCCATTCATAACTGACGGTATTCAAACGGCTGTCAGTGAGTGTATTAGAGCCATAATCTACAATATTATTAGATGCATTTAATTAATTTTAAAAAATATATTCTAAAAAATCTATTGTTCAAAAGGATTCTCTTCAAAAAAATATTTTCAAAAAAACCTCTTTACTAAAAAACCTTTTCAAAAAATCCTTTCCCCAAGAAATTTCTCTATACTCTATTAGGTTAAGTAGACACTTAACAACATAGGATAATTATAAAAGAGAAATAAAAGAACATTTTTCATTTAGGCCTTTGGGGGATAGTGTGTTAAGTTCCATTATCCAATAAGTCTCTCTTTGTAGGAGAAGTCTGCCCCTGTCCCCACCTCTGGCAGCTATGGGAACATGATCGAACGCCACAAATCGCAAAGTGGAAAGCGGATGTTGCTTTTCCAAAAAATGTCTGGCCACAGGTTTGTCCGACCTGCCATCACGATAGGCAAGGCGGATACTTGACCTGTGGCCTCTAATTCTCTTGCACAGGGCTGTCTCTGTCTTGCCCATATAGCTCAGTCCACAAGGTTGTGTGAGTTTATATATGATAAACTCTGTGCAACAATGTATCCTATGGGCAATTTTGTACAGTTTCCCCATATGTGGATGAGAGAATGTCTTGGACGGAATTATATGACCACAGGTCACACATCCTAAGCATCTGACACAACCATTGTTTGTCTTCTCTCTTATAGAGGGATTATAACAATGGATAGGGTCTGTTTTTACTAATAAATCCCTCAGGTTTCTATTTCTCCTATAACAAAACATTGGCTTAGTTGTTAATTCTTTTGAGAGCGACGGATCTTGTCGTAATATATTCCAATTTCAAGTAATAGATTCAGTTATTTCCTTGCTTTCGGAGTGTAATTTCATTGGGAATACTATTCTTTTTTGTAGTTCTTTTTTGAGAGATTCTTCCCTTGTTGTTATATTGTTCTTTCGCTTTATACAAGGCGTTTTCCAATATCGGTCGCTTATATCCTCTCTTCATAAATTTTGAATACATCATTCTCAATTGTTCCTCTTGTTGTTCCTCTTGGGAATTATTCCTGTAAACCCTTAAGAACTGAGAAAGTGGTAATGATTTTTTTAGATGTTGCGTGTGGAAACTATCAAAGTGTAGAATGGTATTGCGATCGGTAGGTTTAGTATAGAGTCTATACTCTAATTTGTGATTCATGATGGATAATTCTATATTGAGGAATTGGACATTTTTTTGAGTCAATCTGTGAGGTCACAAATTTTTCTATTTGCTTAAGATTATGAATAAGGCTATTTGTATCCTTAATACAAGTTGGTATAGCAGTAACCGGTTGTTTGAATAGGTAATCCAAATACTTGGCTATAGGCTCCAAAATGCCTTCTATCGCAGATACAATCGGTCTGCCTGGTGGAGCAATTGAGTTTTTATGGATTTTTGGTAACGTGTAAAGGATAGGTGTACGTGGGTGTTTTTTCTGCAAATATTCAAAAAGATCTGTCTCAATGAAACCCGCTCTCAGCCCGAAAAGCAATACCTCTTCAATTTTTTTGGCAATATTGTTGGTTGGATCCTTTTCCAGAGGGTGATAAGTTGTTTGTACTCCCAATTGTTTGTGAATCTCACCTGCATAGTAGGAATAATTTAGAACCACTATACCCCCGCCCTTATCTGCGTGGCGTATTACAATCGTTGGAGCTGATTCTAATCGACGTACCAGTGTATGTTGTTCCTTTGTAAAATTCCAATATTGTGGTCTATGTTTCTCTAGAATATCATCCGTCTCATTCCTTACGGTGGAAAGGAATGTTTTAATCGTGGGCTGACTTGTTGGAGGGTCAAACTGGCTAGGTTTTCAAAATAATTGTTTGTAAGATTCAAAATTCTGGTCTACTGCAGGTCTTTGAATTTTATTAAACAAATCTTTCAGTCTTAATGTACGACCAAATCTATATAATTCCACGTTCCGCTGGAAATGGTTTTGAGCTATTGATGGTATAAATGACAACCCTTTATTTAAAATGTTCAATTCCTGATGATCAAGTGATCTGTCCGACAAGTTAAAGACGGGGATAATTTCCGAAAATGGTGGTTTCCCTCTGGGTGCAGTGGAACTGTCCTTTTTGTCCCCGTCTTGTGATAGATCTTTTTCACTTTGTTTTTGTTTCTTGTGGAGATTCTCTGAGGTAGTGTATCCTCCCGTCGTTCCTCCATCTCTAAAAAATTAGCAGATTGGATTGAACGAGAACCCTCATTTTCTGATGCCGATTCGCCTGAGGTGACATCAATTGTCGTTACATTAGGTTTGACAATCCACTTTCTAAGTCTTTTTGGACGGATTCGGTGTTCCCCTGACAACCATCTGTACACAGAATGCTCGGTATAGTCTTGCTGTACACGTTCCATTTTTTGTCTTTTAAACTTTATCAGCTGATTTTTATACTTCAATAGTTCCTCACTAAGTTTAAGTTGCATTTTAACTCCTTCCTGTGAGTTGAGCAATATTGCTTGTTCACTCTCAAATAGTTGGATTTTCTTACGGATTTCTATAAGGTATTCTTTTACATCCTGTATTGTAATTAACATTACATCAAGCGAACACTTGTTCAGTACTGATGTCCAATCTTTGGATACTTTTGATTTAGTTCTGCCAATAGTTGGTATGTTGTGGCTACTAAAAAAGACTGTACATACTCCATATTGAATACTCTGGGTTGTCTACTTTAAAAAAATATGTACATGTGAGGTGTGATTAATAGATTTATGACAGATAATAGTGTTGCAATGTTACTATTGATGAATTTTAAAAATATATATTTTGAAACAGCAATGTCCTACTTATACTTGTAGCACTGGCATACATACCGCGGTCGCAGGGATTGCAGCTGCGACCAGGCCCATCACTCCAGGGGGCCCACCCGCCCTGCGGACCTCTGCGACCGGGTACCCACCGCCATGTTTTGTGGCCCCAGTCTTCGCGGCAAACTGCCGGGGCCGCACGTGAAGGGGTCCATCAGGTGGCCCATGCTGTCAGGGCCACCCAATGGAGATGGATTTCCAGGGGGCCCTGGTCAGCACTGAGTGCTTTAACAGTGCGACCGGGCCCCCTGTGATGACATCAGACAGCTGGGTAGACGCTATCCCGGTAGACGCTATCTACTTTTATAATGTTTTTTAAAAATATATATATATTTTTAAATGTTTTTGAAAAACTAATTGTGCTATCCTTTTTCTTTCCCTTTTTCTTTTTCTTTCTTTATTTTCAAATCTATCTTCTTATGCTTCCTTTTTCTTCTTATCTCCCCCTTTCTCATCGTGGCTATTTTCAATAATTATCTCTTATTATGTACCACGTGTTATCTTATTCTTTGCAATTCATCCAATCTTGTACTAAAAAAAATTTCAGTGTACTATTTATTTCAGTGCATAAAGAAGATGTTTAATTTCATTTCAAACTTTAAAATATGCTCTAATCCCCTTTAGTATTTCAATCTATATTGTGTATAAAGTGTATACAGAATTCATATAATTCTTAAACTATTACATGTGCAACTTGTACCATTTGTAAAATATAAATAAGTTAATAATAAACACATTGTGTGGCAGAAATACCTCTGCTACGTGTTCCTGGAGGGGCCTGGTGGCTAGCCTCCTCCCCAAAGACTATGGGTCCTGCAAAAAGCCTGCAATTTTCATATGCTGTTCAGGAACCGAACAGGCGCAGGAACCATGGACAACCCGGTTAAGCCCTATCATCACCTCTTAAAGATTCTAACTGCAGTGTTCTAATTGTTCATTTGTGTGGCCACAATTCGGCCTAGGACTATTGACTATGGTAGTTTGTTCATTTTTAAACTACCAAACTGTTAGCACTAAATTCATGGAACCGATTTGGGCAAAAGACCGGTCGGTCAAATTATGGCTTCAATAGAAATCCCGAAACCCTGAACAGATCTGGGTGATTTTTGGATATGTTGGTCACTCAGATGGGGGCTATCAGGGGATGTAACTTTTGTGGGGTTTTCATGTGTTTTGGGGGTACTTGTGGGGTGTCTTAACACTTTGTGGTTTTTCTGTACCTGGAGAAAATTGAGTTAGAACAGTTCCTGACTCAATTATCTCTCAGGCACAGAGGAGGAGTTTGTAAGTTTTATAAATTCTGTGACTGTGCTTCCATTAAACAGACTACTTCCCAGCATTAAGCCTTGGCTCATGTGTGGAGGGGGGATTGCTATACTGCTCTTTGGATTACTATATTTGCTATACTCTTTTGGAGGAGAGGTCTTCCCACTGGGAACTGGATCTAGATATTGGTCCAGGGCGGGAAGGGACGGCAAGACCCCACCCAGGCTGTGGCAGCTAAAGGGGGCTACAGTGGTTATGGTGTCCGGTGGGGATGCTTATGGTACTCTGTGAGCACTAGGAAACGTGATTGGCGAAAGGTACCAGTCGGGTGCCAGGCGGTCGGCCAAACATTGTTGTTCTGAGGGCTTTTGTTTTACAGGAGAATGCTAAACTTCCTGTGTGTCTGTGCAATGGAGAGAAGGGCCCAAAGTATCCTTTAGGTGCCTAATTGCAATGCAGATCTACAGGTGTTAACCATGTAAGAAGATAGACAACTCAAAAAATAGGAAAATACCTTCTAAAAAAGAAAAGAAAAAACATTTATATGAGTCATCTGACATTAAAAATAGTGTGAGAAAAAAACACACAATTAATTGAACAAACCAGTGCAAAGTGTATAGGTGATTTAAAAAGGGAGATCTAGTGGAGCTTGCTATGATAGATCCAAAAGCTGACTATGTAGAGTATACGTATAGAAATTATTTTTCTCTTCTCTGTTATAACAATATATGGGGTTATGCCCCTTCTTTTACCCATATAGTCAATTTTTTGACTATCGGGTCAATAGCTTTGACCTCCTAGTCATTCTCTCTTTTTTCGACTGTATTATAAACTGTCTTTTTTTCATCTATCTTTATAATTTTTCAGAAATATCAGGGTAAATTCTTTTTAGCTTCATGTTTCACAATGGGCTACCCTGGGAAAACATAACGTTTCTACAGGAGATTTGTTCTAGGATACCCATTAATTACGCAAACACTTTACTTTTTGATCAAATATGTACCAATATTTCCTGAAGGAAAAAGAAAAAAAAATTGAAACTGTAGAGCCAGTGAGACATTTCTCTTTTGGCTTTAAAAAAGTTCTTTAGCAAGATGAGCAGCTTGTCGGGACGTCTCGAAAGAGGTTTGAAGATTAAATTTGATGCTCTTTGTCTGCCTTTCATATGTTGATCATATTTCTCCGTTGTGTTGTACATGATTTGAGTAATTTTTTTTCATATTCTTCTTCCACGTTTTCTTTAATTGTTACCCCAAAAATTATTTGTCAGTCCTGTTTTCTTGCAGCTCAGCCTGTATTCTTCCTGTATTATCTGCTGTTAGAAAGCTTTTCATTTTCTTTCCCCTTCCAAATCTTTCCCTCCTTCTTCTTTTCTCTTTGATTTAAACCTTTCTTTTACGCAGCGTAATAAATAAGAACATGCCATATTCATTATCTATGATGTAAACTTCCCTTAGTTGTTTACGTTGTTTAGTTGTTTATCTGAAGAAGAAAAAAAACAAAACACGCTTATCTACTTTAGGCTTTATTTTTTTATGAGTAATCAAATCCTTTTCTTTCAGCCAGTGTTGTAATTTTTCAGGTGTGTCAAAGACAAAAGTTCTAGCTTCAAATGTCAAAATGAGCTTCACAGGGAAACCCCATCGGTAGTGTGAGTGGTTGGCTCTAAGAATCTCTTTTAATTTAGTGAATGTTTTCCTCTTTGATCTAGTGTAGAACGATATACCAGCTCTTTTACAAGAAAGGATGAGCAAACATATCAAGACATCACTAGGGGAATTTGAAGATACAGGTTGTGGTTTTGGTACTCTGTGCCAGCGTTCCATAAGACAGCCATATATTTAATTGGATATTAGATACAAAACATTTTGTCAATTATCCTTCTAAATTTTCTTTAGTTATTTCCTCTGGGATGTTTGTTAAATTATTGCATCTCGTCCTATCTTCTAGGTCAGCAGCTTTTTGTTCTAATGAGATCACTTTAGCTTGTATTTGTTGAAATTCCAAGTGAGTTTGAAATAAAGTATGTTATAGATTTAGATTTTTTCTTTATGTTTATTGCTAGAAGGTCTTTTTTTATACTGTAAACCAGAGGATTTCATTTTTTATTTTTTCAAATTGGATTTGAAAAATAGTCTTAGGAGTATGTGGAGTAAAAAATGACGAGCGTTTGTCCAAAGAGTCTCTTTTGTTATCAGCTTTTTTCTTTGTCGGCCTTTGATCTTGGGTCTTTCTGTTTGCCATATCGTATTGCTAATCCCAATAGGGATAATAAAGTGCAACGTGTACAAACTTGTCAGAAACAAAAAAACAATACAAACTTTTTTTGTCTCTTTGACGGGTTTTCTAGATTTAATTTCAATCATGCAGAAGCACTGAACTTGTTAGTGGAGAGCTTCACCTGCGTCAAATTATTAAGTGAGATATATCTTTATTCTATGCGGTGCAACTATAGAGTTCACAGTTTAGAGAATATTTCTCATTTTTTCTTTCTCCCCTTTACTTTTTTCTTTTCTATCCTTCCGCCTTATTTCCTTTCTTCTTTCAGATTCCCTTTGTGAAAATTAGGTTCAGAATTACACCGTATATAATTTTAATCCTGGGAGTTTTCTGTGATTTTTGGTGCCTCTCCCCTATTCACAGGGGTGTCAGATTAGTATTTTCTTTAGTGTTAATTATCCCACAGTCTTGCCCTTAAATATTTCTATTTCAGTATATTTCAATATATGGGGGCTCTTGGAATAAAGGACTGTCGGAGTGCACCCACAGCTCCCAATTCCCTCCACCTCTCCACCTCACAGCTTAATTTTCTGCTCTAGCAGTACTCTCCTGCTGTACGGCGGTCGTGACACTTGGTTTAGCCGTCAGTGCTTTGCACCTTTTTCACCTCTTCCAGCGCATCTTGCTGGCTTCTGCTTTGTAGAGGTCTCTACCCGTCGGTTCGTTAGTCGGCTCGCCTTCAAGCACGCCGCTCGGGTCTCAAAACCTTGAGCGTGCTACGTCATCGCTGAACCCCCCCCCCCGGATGCAGAGAAGCTGGTTATTTCTTTGCCCTCATCATGTAGATTGAATTAGCAAGTTCATTCTGGACTTGCTGAGGATCAGAGAAGGATTAAAATCCCACAGGGCCCTAGGAAAGTTACTAGTGTGTCCCCTTAAATTTTCATGTAGCAATGGTGAACAGAGCAAAGCAAATCCTTGCCTAATCCCTGGTCCTTAAACAGCTGTGCAATGTAACATTATGTTAAATTCTGCTCTGCTGAGAACAGCCAGTGAGCTACACACATGGGTCATCCAAAAGAATAGTTTAATTCAGTCAATAGATATAAAACAGAGTGGCTATAGTATCAGTAGTCAGGAAAGAGGCATCAAAAATTTCAGGAACTTGGTCTAGCATAGAAGTTTCTATATCAGATCACTATATCAGAGATCAGAAAAATGACACATTGTTGGTGCCTCGTTAAGGACTGCATTCAACTAGGGTTATTCACTCAAGTAAGTATTATTTGGAATTCAATTAATGGCCAAGATAGGTTTATAGCACTGATTATCCAAGTTCGAACACCCAAACCAGAGTATCTCTCATCCGGTCGTTTACATGCAGTAAGAGGGAGCAACACCGTGGAGAAGTCTTCAAAATCATGATGATGTGTGGTAGAAGAGACAAAAAAAAAATATATAGAGTAGTATAATAACATTTCAACTTGAAGAGAAAAAAGGAAATTTACTTAGTGTAAATAACTGACTTTTAGCTAAAATTACAGCTCTTGTGCAGTATAACCCCTGTCTGTGTATATAGGTCATTTTTTTCTTCTCTTTTCTTGGTCCAACACAGCATAGTTCAGATATAGAATAGAGCACCAGGATAGTGTAAAATGTCAGAAGATAAAATTGAGTAATAAGTATAATAAAAATGCACACTCACATTTATTGGAGCCTCTAGATGGCTCCTTTTGTAGCGCTTGGATTGGAATAAATCTCACTCTAGCATATGTGTGCAGTAATCTCTCTTTGGTGTAGATAAAATCTCCACGCTCGATATAAAAATGGAAAATAAAATAAAGTACTCATTGTATATAAGGAGAAAATAAAAGCAATAGGAAAAGTACTCACATTAGGGAGAACAAGCAATGGTTTTGCTCAATTCAGAATGTTTAGGTGGTGTATTCCCCATCATGGAAGAGGATGTTCCACCAGCAAAGGAATCAGGAGGTACAGAAAATATAAAGTAATATTACCTTTATTAAACACTAACACGAAATAAAATAGTGCACAAAGCGTTTCACGTGAGGTGTAGGCTTCTTTAAGTGTGATGAATGTACCATATATTTACACTCTCATCTTCTCACGTCTAAGTACCTGAACTAAAGGCAGTGACCAGGTTCCTACACTGCTTTCTAGGTTGCATGACACGACTCCTGACATTTGACAGATTTTTTGTGGCAGACTCGGTGGCCCTACTCAATAGGTCATCTCTGATAATATTTATTACATCTGGGGTTTTTATGTCTCCACAGCACTTCCCTGCCCAGCAAACAGTCATTATGAACAATGCACAAAGACGTGCGATTACTCATGTAGTGGCCTTGTTGCAGAAAGCTCTTGCACTGACAGATGTTTCGAGGGCTGTGAGTGCGATGTCGGTTATCTGTTTGATGGGAATAAATGCGTAACTCTGGGGCAATGTGGCTGCCTCTACAATGGGCGATATTTAATGGTAAGTCAAGTTATTAGTAACTTCTTATATTTTAAAATGTACTGGTCAAATATAGATATTTTACTACAATAACAAATCTTATGTTTAATGACCGTTTGCTTTACTTTCATCGTAGCAATGATGGGTCATCATAGCACTATCATATATTATTTCTTATACATGCATTTAATAAAATGTTAACACTTTGAAGCTTTAGTTAATCAAGACACTCTTTGAGAAGTATATATTTATCTAATATATATTAAATATACACTGCATTTTATTCCTTATAAACTCACTTTAACTTTCTTTCTGCATTTCTACATATTTTGCTTTAGTTTGCAGATAATATAATTTACCATGTCTTGCTATGTTTGATACCTTGAACCTAATGAGTTGCTAGAACTAATTCCAATAATTCTGTTTGTGTCGAAGTTCTTCAGATTCTAATGTTAGTGATTTCTGTCACCTGACTCCAGGCAGATGAAAGTGTGGTGTCGGAGGACTGCAGCCAGCGATGTACATGCCAAGCCGGCTCCGTGTCCTGCCTGTGGTACAATTGCATGGAAATTGAGAGATGCCAGCTGAGAGATGGTATACGTGGGTGCTACTCACGGGATTCAGAATGTACCATCAGTTCTGAGCAGCATTTTGTCACTTTTGATGGAGCCTCTGGCATGTACCCCTCTGAAGGGGCCTTTGTGATGGCATCATCTTGCAATATAACCAGGGATTGGTGTTTCAGTGTGGTTGTGGACACAAGAAAATGTCAAACTGGTTCATCAAGCAGAAAAACCCTGCATGTGTTCACATCTGAAGGCCTGATCACAGCAAATGGAGCACAGGAAATATGGGTAAGAAATATTTATTTGACTGACGGATGAGTTTATTTAGAATTTCACATTCTAAGTTTGTTTTCACATTTCGAGGTAAAACATTGCTGTCTGAGAAATTGGGTTTATTTGCTGAGGCAATTAATAATAATAATACTAATACTAATAATGTAATTTAACTCCACACCTTCACAGTTACACACAGCCTCATAGATGTCAATTATTTAAAAAACAATTAAAGTTTTTTTTTTTTATGTGGGAAATGGAAAGTATTCAGAGCGTCCTATTAAATAAGCTGGGGAATGATTAAATGTGGCAGAGTTTAATAAAAATAATAGGCACCATTTATTAGAATGCCCCTTGGCATCTTGCTACACCCTAATAAAACGTGAGGTAGTATGTCATATGTGGAGTCCGCTCCAATCACATATCCCACTAGGTATCACAGGAGGCTAAATCATAAATCACAGTCTACCAGGCTAGTTAATGTTAAGAAAGTAACAGGCAATGTATCAATATCAGAGAGAGTTGATGTATCCAGCGTCAAATAGATAAATATAGAGTATCATTATGTGTAGCTGTTTATTTGGTTTCTTGCTATGTAATAATGGTCTTTCTTGTCTGGTCTTTATAGATGAATGGACAGCACCTGCAAGCCCAAGATACCTTCTTGTTTGATTCTGCCCGGGTCATGGTATCTTCATTAAACGTGACCATTGAGGTGGTTGACCTGATCACCGCAGTGTTACATGCTGATGGGAAGGTTACCTTGATTGCTAAAGAAAAATTAGCCAGAGATTTATTTGGAGCTTGCGGGAACTTCAACGGAGATGGAAACGATGATCTTCATCTGGACAATGGGACACCAGCTAGCAGTGTCACATACGCCATATATTCCTGGACAGCGAGATACTTCTCCACATGGTACTGCTCTTCCCTAGATCTATCTACCTTACCCTTCATGTACAAACAGAGAAATAGATACCAGCACTGATATAATGCATGCACGGCAGGGGTAGGCAACCTTCAGAGCTGCAGATCTTGTGGACTAAATCTCCCTGATGCTTTGCGCTGTACGGCTAAAAGAGCATCATGGGAGATGCAGTCCACGTCTGAAGTGGTGGAAGTTGTCAACCCCTGATGTAGACCATCATGATAATCAAAGTCAGGTGTTACCAGAAATTCTGTAATGACATCATAACAAATAGCATAGAACCAAAGGACCTGATTTGCTAACATTGAGCTGCATCACACAATTTGGAGCAAAATAAGAACATTTTAGATATTTTTATGGCTTGGATACATTGGTCTATATTTTGCATTCCGAAAGTTAGTTTATAAAGCCTCACTGTTTAGTAAATCACCTTACAGAACTGCAGATTTGAGCCACTGAAAGCGCAATGTCTAACCATGTCACACCTATTTTATTATTATTCGTTTTCCTGGTTAATAGAACTGTCCACATCCTGGAAAGCAGGGAGGCCCAAAAGGTAGATCCCCGGATGTTGTAAAACTATTGAGCCCATGATGCTTTGCATCATGGAAGTTGTAAAACATCTGGGGATCTACCTTTTGGGCCTCCCTGCTGTAAAGGATAAATCAGTAAATAAAAAAATTTTACATAATTTTAACTTTTTTTTTTTTTCAATTTGACAATTTTTATTTTCCTTTTTCTTCAATGCAACTTGGGATACAGAATAAAGAGAGGGAGGGGGGGTAGGAACCTCATATATCATATTCTCGAGTAACATGCCATCCAACTTTACATGATACATTTTACATTTTTCACTGTTCCACTGGGCATAATTATCCATTATCTACTTTCTCCTCACTCGCCTGCCCACATTCTGAGACCTGCATCTGTCTTCCTCTGTTAGTCTGCTTTGCCTTGGCTCCTCCTTAGTGTCACCCCTGCACTAGATGGATGCATTCTCTCGTTTCGTGTTACTGTTCCTAAATGGGGGGGGAGGGGGAAGAAACCAGCTGGAGCCTGGGATGGGGAGGGGGGGGGGGAAATGGATTTATCGTGCCCGTTTTCTCCTACCGGTACTTTGCTGTACATCCACTGTTTGTGATTTAAACTTTCGATTCACCCATTTGTCCCGTGATTCCTATCTATCACCTTTCGTCCCCAAGGGGTCCCTTCCTCTGGATTTCCCTTGGTCGCATGGGGTCTCTTACTGCTGACCTTGTACCTGTGCTTGGCCTGGCTGAGGGATTTTATAGAGTCGGAGTATTCTCCCACTTCTCATGACACTAGGGTCAGACTCCATTCCTAATCTCCCCGGACCTGTTTACTTCTTCCCACCTATTTTTTGCTTCCTCAAACCTGTGTGCATTGCCTACATTTTTCCTGGCCACTAGTTCATATTGTAGGTTGATGGTGATCTGCCTTTTTAGGGCTTGTTTCGTCGGTGCGGAGTCTGTCTTCCATTCTCTGGCTATTAGCGTTAGTGCCGCTATTATGGTGTGGAAAACTATAATTGCCTCACTTCCCCGGAATCTGGACATATGCATGAACAATAAGCCTGTTTCTGGGGCGAGTGTAGTACTGACATCTATCGTCTCATTTAGCACGTTTTCTACCATCCCCCAAAAGGGTCGTAGTACCTCACAAGACCACCAGATGTGGTACATCGTGCCATCTGCACCCCCACATCTCCAGCACTTGGCTGATGTTCCTGGGTAAATTTTTGCCAGTCGCACCGGCACCATGTACCACCTGTAGTGTATCTTTCTCATTAACTCTAGGTGTGATGCGCATGATGTCTTTCCTTTGTGCGCTGTGGTCGCGTTTTTCCATTGAGTTGCATCAAAATGTTTCCCCAGGTCTGCCTGCCAGGCTTCACTGAATCTGTCTAAGTGTACTGCGTCGCCTAGGTTTAGTAGTGAGTAGCATTTAGATATCGTTCCCCTCTTTAGCTTAGTGTTTAGACAGAGACTTTCAAACTCCGTGAGCGAGTTTTTCCCCTCTCCTGTGGTTGCTTGTGTCCCCAGCATAGATTTTAACTGAAGGTATGGAAATATCAATTTGGGGGGAGGTTGAATTTTTTCTGTATGTCCGGGAACGGTAGCACCTTTTGTGCCTCTAGGAGGTCCCTCACATGCGTGCAGCCTCTCTTTGTCCATTCCCTATAGTCAAATGTGTTGTTCGCTACATGAAGGCAGGGCAATGGTGTTGCCGGTGACCACGGAGTCATAGAGGTCAACGTCTGTTGTGTTTTGTCCCATGTCATCAGTAATGTCTTTGTGGTGGGTAAGATATGGGGTTGGGTGGGGCGCATTAGTTTAGGTACCCACAGCAATCTGCTGAGGTCTGTCCCTTGAAGCCAGTGGTCTTCGATTTCTAACCATTGTGGAATAGGGGCTGGTAGTTGTATCCCTATCACTGGGGCTAGTAATGTTGCCTGATAATAAAGTTTAATATTTGGTAAGGCTAGACCCCCTTGGTGAACCGGTCTGTGTAGGTATTTGGCGCTATCCTCACTCGTTTGTGTGCCCATACAAACTTTGTGAGCATTGACTGTGTTTTGTTTAAGTAGGAGGATGGAAGAGCTATTTGCAGCGTTCTAAAAAGGTACTGTAGTTTAGGGAGAATGGACATTTTAAAAGCTGCCATCCTCCCCACCCAGGAGATGTATTTGTCTTTCCAAGAGACCAAACTAGCTTCCATCTCTTTTTGTAGGGCTTCGTAATTTGCCTTGAACAGTCCCCCTATTGTCTTAGTTAACTTAATTCCGAGGAAGGAAACGCTTTCCGTCCTCCAGTCCATCACAAACTTCCCCTGCAACTCCTGTAGTGTGCTCTCAGGTATCCCAATTCCCATGGCCTGTGTTTTGGACACATTTAATTTATAGTACGAACTGTCTCCGTATTCTTTTATCGCTGTCAATAGGTGTGGCATTGATATCAGTGGTTGCGTTAAGGTCAGGAGCACGTCGTCCGCAAACATGTTGGCTTTGTATTCCTTGTCCCCTATGCGCACTCCATGTATGGAACTATGGTTCCTAATCTTTGATGCTAATGGCTCTAAAGCTAGAACATACAGCAGAGGGGACAAGGGGCATCCCTGCCTCGTGCCATTCGAGATGCTAAACGGGTTGGATAGGAAGCCCGCGTTGAGCACTTGTGCCCTCGGGGCGCTATATAACGCTTTGACTGCTGCCCTGAATTCTCCTGGCACACCAAATTTTGCCATGACCGCCTCTAGGAATGTCCAGTGCAGGCGGTCGAATGCCTTTTCGGCGTCTAGGGAGATGATAACTCCTCCCCCTTTGTATAGTCTGGGTAGGCTATGCAGTATGTTCAATACCTTGCGCGTGTTATCAGCTCCCTGTCTCCCTGACACAAATCCTACCTGGTCTGTGTGGATTATTTGGGGGAGTATGGCGCTCAGTCTCATCGCAAATAGCTTGGCGAAGATTTTCGCATCCGTATTGAGCAGGGAGATGGGCCTGAAATTTTGGGGGATGGTGGGTGACTTCCCTAGTTTTTGTAACGTAATAATATGGGCTAGTAGTGAGTCTTGCGGTAATTTCTGTGTGGCTGTCGCCTCTGTGAAAGCGTGCACTAGGTGAGGTATCAGTGTTTGACTGAATTTTTTATAGTAGGTGTTATCTAGTCCGTCTGGGCCTGGGGCTTTGCCTTTTGGTAGGTTTTTTATGACAGTCTGGATTTCGTCCCCTGTGATGGGTTTAATGAGGTCTGTCGCTTGTTGGGTCGTGAGTTTCGGGAGGTCTACTGTATCTAGGTACGCATTGATGTGTTCCTTCGTGGGCTGAAATGTGGTGTCATGCTTGTGTATGTTGTACAGGTCTGCGTAATAGCTGGCAAATTCGTTGCAAATGTCTGTAGGAATAACTTTCTTCTCACCTGTACAGGACATAAGGAAATCGATTTTTTGGTTCGCCCTACGTTCTTGTAATCTCCTTGCCAGTAGTCTACTAGCTTTGTTCCCCTGTGTGTATTGTGTCATTTTCAATCTCTGGAGCCTGTATCCTGTCTGTTCTATCGCCTTTTGGTGTAATTTGCGAGTAATATTGGATATTTGTAGTTTAAGCTCCGTAGATGGGGAGATTTGGTTGCGTGTGTTTAGTTGGTACAATTCTCTCTGCCATTCAGCAGTCTGGGTTGAGGATTTTTTATGTAGGTATGCCGCCCTTCTAATAAAAATACCCCTAATTACCGATTTGTGTGCGGCCCACAGTGTGCCCTGGGACATTCCTGGGGTATCGTTCTCTCTAAAGTAATTTAACAAAGTCTCCTCTACCTCTTTCGTGAATGTCAAGTCGTTCAACAAGGAGACATTCAGCCGCCACGGGCTTCGGTGCTTATAGTCGTATTGGTCCTTCACCGACAGCGTAATCGGTGCATGGTCTGACCACGTAATCTGTCCTATGTCACAGTCTGTGATTTGGTTAAGTCCTTGTCCCTGAATGAGAAACCCGTCTATCCTTGAGTATGTATTATGTACATGGGAGAAATGTGTATACGCCCGCTCCGAGGTGTGGGATATTCTCCAGGTGTCATAGTAATGGTGGAGGGAGAGGAGTTTCTGTAGCTTTTTACACTGTCTGTGGAGTATTTTGTACCTTGGACTGTGTTTTGAAATATTCGTGTCTAGTTTTGGGTCCCAGACATGGTTAAAGTCTCCACAAATAATGGACACCCCTTCCCGTGTCGATTCTAGTTTCCGCAGTATTTGTCGTAGGAACGTGCCTTGCAGTGTATTGGGTGAGTATAGGTTAGTAATTGTATATGTCATGTTATTAATGGTGCATTTCAAAATTACGTATCTCCCATTGGTATCCGTCTCTGTGGAGAGCATGGTAAATGCCGCCCGCTTAGAGATCAGTATAGACGTCCCTTTAGATTTCGTGGGGGATGTTGCGTGGTATTGGTGTGGGTAGTCAGTAGCTGTTGGCGGGATAAAATTGTCGGTTCTGTAATGAGTCTCTTGGAGACAGATGACGTCCGCATCCGTTTCCCTGAGTTCTCTATATAGTAGGTGTCTCTTAACCGGTAGGTTTAACCCTCGTACATTCAGAGAAAAAATTTTCATGGAGGTCTATACCCAACAGATTTGGTAAGGGTTGCAGAATTGTGCAAGAGTGAGTACGGGGGGTTTGCTCGCCCCAGCAGCATCGAAACGAGCGACCTTCCCCTGGTTGAGGGTTGGGTTCGGGCATATCTCCCTTGCCGAGTAAAAGGAGGTGGGGCTGTCATGGGTACCCTTGTAGGAATTAGGAGCTGGTGAGCTTGGCCAGCGGTGTGAATTCCCTGTGGGTACTGGGTAGAGGGTGTGAATCGCCTGGTCCCAGCTAGACCGGGGTGGGGAGGGGAATAAAGTGATAACTGGGAAAACATATGAAACAGGTGTATAACAGATTGGTGTGCCATTTTCGGCTTAGGTACTCTCTGTACCTGTGGAGGCGGAAGTGGTAGCTTCCTTCCTGTGGGGGGGTAGTCTCCGGTGCAACCCACTCTATAACTCACTGAGTGTTTTTTTTTTTTTTTTTTTTTGGCTTGTAGCCGTGTAGTAATGCCCCTGTAGGGAGCCACTAAGAATTGTGCAGCCTATACCTGTACAGACATATATTACACTGTGGCAAAACATTAGACATGGCTAATACAATACCCCTGGTTGTCTCCATGGTCTATTTATCAGGACCAGTCTCTCAATAGTCACTGTGGAAGAGCTTGCAGGGATGCTGTAGTTGCGGTGACGTCTTTCATGTCGGTCTTTTGGAGTTTCTCCAGTCTTTGGAGGATCCGCGGGGCCTCTGTGGGCTGTGTTGTTGGCTTGGCTTGGGGAGTCCCCATCTTTGGAGTAGTATTTCTCCTTCTTCTGGCGTGTTGATAGCTGACACTTTCCCTTCTCTGGACACCAGTATTTTCACTGGGTAACCCCAGCGGTATGGCAGCTTGTGGAGCCGGAGCTGTTCTGTGACACCTCTGAATTCTCTCCTGCGTTTCAACGTGAATGTCGATATGTCTGCAAATACCAGCAGCCCGTCATATGGATCTGGGAGTGTTTTCTTCTGGCGGCTTGCCTGAAGCACCAGTTCTTTCACATGGTAGTAATGCATTTTGATAAGAATGTCTCTTGGGGTGTCCCGAGGGAGAAAGCTGGGCTTAGCGGTCCGATGGAACCTGTCCATGAGCAGCATGTCATGTGGTACGTCAGGCGCTAGCATTTTTAGCAGGCTCGTCAAGTAGGCCGCCAGTTCCGTGGGTCCCACCTCCTCACTCACCCCACGTATGCACAGGTTATTGCGGCGTGCCCTGTCTTCAATGTCCGCAAGCTTCGTCTCGTACCTCTGCATTTGGTCTTGTAGCCCTGTCAGCCCCTCCTCCATTTCTCTATGAGCCACGTGTAGCTCTGCCATTTTGGATTCTGTCCCAGCAGTTCTCACCTCCAATTCTCTTAGGTCTTTATGTAGTGCCCCAATTGTGGCTTTAAAACTGTTTTCTATCCTTGCAGACATCTCTTCTAGCATTGCCCGCATCATCTCCTGTGTGATAGGAGTGTCCGTTGCAGATTCAGTGTGCTGCTGTGTTTCAGCCTCTTCAGCGCCATCTTGGGTCTCTCCCTGCAAGGTCTGTCTCCCTTGCTGTGACCGCGCGGCGAAAAATGCGCTCCGTTCTGCCTTATCAGCCTGCCTCTTCCCTTTAGCCTGGGACATGGTTACTGGGGTGTATGGGGCCCCGATTTTTTATTTTATTTTTTCGGCTAAATAGCCGGATTGCTCCTTTGTGGGTGCCGTCGGAGCGGAGCGCTCAGTTCATGCGACCGCTCGGTACCCCCGCCAGGACACGCCCCTCATAATTTTAACTTTTTAAAGGGACACTGTAGGCACACAGACCGCTTCATCTTATTGAAGCAGTCTGGGTGCAATGTCCTTGTCCACCTTAGCCCTGCAATGTAAAACGTAGTTTTAGAAAAACTAAGACTGCCTCTAACAACCCTCTACCAGACAGTCACTAGAGGCGCTTTGTGGAGTTTCACAGAGCTTGACTCTGTGAAACGACATTGGACCTACTCACGCTCTGCATGTGGACATTCTGTATCAAGGTAAACCCCAAAGGAAAGCATTGCCTCATTGCATGCGCATTATGTCACCCCATCAGTTGACACCGGAGGAAGCTGAGTGCAACCTAGCGCCGAGGGAGATTGGAGCTGGAATCAGGTAAGTGAATAAAGGGTTATTTAAATCTTCACATCACTGGGTCGTGCAGGGGTAGAGGAACACACTAATGCTAGGAATACATTCCTAACACTAAATTGTTCCTTTAAGTTTTTTCTTAAATGGTTATATGCTAGCTATCCATCCCTTGTATTAAACATATGTTATGCTAATATGGTGTCAAACAAAAAGCTCTCGGTAGTGAAGGTATTAATATGCATGTAAAAGAAATGATTGATTTTTCTATTTAATTCAGTGAAATAATAGGTTGAATTAAATAATCTGTGTGTACCTTCTTTATGTTTCCTCTGTAGTCTCCCATGAAGAGTGGCAGATTGTGAGACGTTTTCTGCTTTTCCACCCTTTACCTCTGCTGGATCCCATTTTGCTGTTAAATCAGACACAACTCTGGAAATGGCATCCTATATATAATCATTATATAAACACTTATCTGTAGAACATTCATGTATCCTACACAGATCTTCTATAAACTTGTTTCAGCCATTTATTCTCATTATATTAATTATTGGAGTGCGGACGATCTCTCACAGGTCACACAAATTCTGATTGTATCGTCTACGCTGGGTGGATTATTAAATGGATTATTAAATGTTTTCACAACCCAGAGAATTGTTTTAGTGTTTTCTTTTCCCTGTGAGACTAAAAGCACTTTATAAAAATAAAGACATAAAATTTAGGGGTTTCTGATGGTCAGATGAGTGGACTGAATGCCTGTTGGAAAAGGTGGTTCAGAGAACCATTAAATCATTGTTTTCTGAAAAAGATCCTCTTTGCACAGATTTTTTTTAACCATAAGCCTATCTTGCTGATGTCAAATGAAAGGAGTACTTGAGATCATGATCTGTTACATAGCTCAAATTCTTACCTGTAGATTTTTCAAACAGAAGAGTTTCATTTTTGCTAATTTCAAGGCTGACTGAAAATGCCCAATATTCTCACCGAAAAATCTTTTTCACTTGCTGCTACAGCTGTACGATGAAGTAGGAACCAGGTAGTCCAGCAGGTTTAAATATTAAGCAGGGGTATTAAATATATATTAAAAGCAAATTAAAGTCATACACATTTCCTCCCATTTAGGACTTCCTCAGTGACCATTATTAAAAAACATGTACAATACAAATAGCTAGGCTGCCCGCAGTTCGGCAAACATGCCCCTATCAGTATCCAAATCCCGGAGAGAGACAAACACATTCAAGGTGCATCCAAACTGGGCTGGCAAGACCAAAAATCGTAACTTCAGTATTAAGAAAGATAGCTTCCTGGGTACGAAATGAGCTGTTAGTGAGCAATCTTTACCGACTCAAAGTAATGTTTCATCTCTCTCTCTGCTGGAGCCTTTATCAAGCTTTTTGTGTCCGCAGACACCTTTCTTTCCTTATACTCATGTACCCATTAGTATTGTGGCAGACAGGTGCATGTGGGAGGTATAAAAGTTGGTGACATGACTGATAAACAACAAACAGCCAGCCAGGACATGCTTAATGCAATGACCAAATGACCGATTTGATTTGTGAGCCATTCGGTCATGCAGGAATTCTCTTATTTATGCCTTTGCATTCAGTTACTAACTAATGACAAAAAACATAAACTTGGAACGCTTATTAAATTGAAGCTAAAGGATGAAGTCACCAGGCAATACTCAAATCAAGTCATGATGAGATGCGGTGATTATAATTTAAACAACTAATCAATTGTACCTAATAGTCTTTACACTAGATGAAAGCTCAGTACTGTTCTGCCTAATCATTAAATTCATGAAGTGCCAATATCAAAAAGCAATAATCAATTACCCTAAGGTTTTTAGAGATATTGGTGGGCACCAAAACCCTATTCGGGATGAGTGAATTGAGTATTTGAGAAAGGGAAAGACCTTGACTTGCAGAGAGTCCCAGTAAGGAAGTATTTCCCAATTAAGTGAATTAATCTCATAAGCGCAAGCATTAGGCTGCTAGAGTAGGACCTGCCAAGAATGGGGTACATTGACGTTGTGGAAGGCTTATGCAATGTATGATCATATAATGTAACTAAACCCCCATTATTTTTTACCTCGGTGAGGTGTTTTTAAATAAACACTGAACTTCAGCAACATTGCTGGGATTTGATCTGGTTCACACTGGTTTTTCAGGCACAGATCTAAAACTGAATTTCTCTATAGGAGGATTTTGAAGGTTTGGCAGGACCTGATCTTTATTTGTGGTCTGAAAATGAGTGTCATTTGTTATCTTAGCAACCACGGTGATAGCACATATAACAAAATCATTATTAACCCCTTAAGGACACAACTTCTGAAATAAAAGGGAATCGTGACACTGGTACATTTGAATGAGGTCAGCTGTAATCCAGGGCAGGTGTGTTCCTTTTAGTCGCACTCTACTATAAATGAAAAAATACCATAAGCGTTACATTTTCCACTAATGGGAAATAAACCAAAATTTACCGTACAAAAAAAGTAAATAAAAAATACTAAGCATAATAAAAAAAAGTAAAAATAAAACCAAGATAAAAATGAAAATGATAATACAAAAAATACAATTCAAAAATTACAAATCATGAATGAATAAATAACACCAAATACAAATGAAAATAAAGCAAAAGATCTCCAAGTGGTGGCAAATTGGTCATGTACAGCTGGGAGGAAAGACGGGACAGGGGGGATATGAACGAAACATGTAAATACATAAAGGGAATCAACACAGTAAAGGAGGAGACTATATTTAAAAGAAGAAAAACTACCACAACAAGAGGACATAGTCTTAAATTAGAGGGACAAAGGTTTAAAATAATATCAGGAAGTATTACTTTACTGAGAGGGTAGTGGATGCATGGAATAGCCTTCCAGCTGAAGTGGTAGAGATTAACACAGTAAAGGAGTTTAAGCATGCGTGGGATAGGCATAAGGCTATCCTAACTATAAGATAAGGCCAGGGACTAATGAAAGTATTTAGAAAATTGGGCAGACTAGATGGGCCGAATGGTTCTTACCTGCCGTCACATTCTATGTTTCTATGCTTCAGGAATTGATCAGAAGGAAGACGGATAGAGACACACATTGTGTACAAGGTAGATGGAGAGAGACACTTTGTGTAGAAGGTAGATGCAGAGAGACACACATTGTGTACAAGATAGATGGAGAGAGACACATGTTGTGTACTAAGTAGATGGAGAGAGACACCCGTTGTGTAAAAGGTAGATGGAGAGAGACACACGTGATGAAATGCTCAAAACTCCCATAACAAACATGCAATCCCTCCTCTCTGTCTGTTAAATAATTGGATCAGTAACTGTACTAATTCTAATCCAATTACCTCCAAGCACAGAAAAAACATACTTTTTTAAAACACCCCAAAAGTACCCTAAAAATACATAAAACCCCACAAATGGTGCATTCCCTGATAGCCCTGATCTGGGTGACCAACATATTCAAAAATTACCCAGATCAGTTCAGGAGTTCAGAAATTCTATGGAAGTCATTTATTTGACCGACCGCAGACATGGTCCCATAGACTAAAATAGTTCCATAGAATCGCAGCTAAGTGCCGCTGGAGGACCGACCGGGCACTGCAATGTTTTCATGCCGAAAATAGTTCCAGGGCATTCGCGGCTAAGTCCCCTGAAGTCTATTCGCAGTTTTGGTCTATGCAACGAAGATGGCCATTACCTAAGAATTGCGGCCACCCAGACGAACACTTAGAACACTGCGGTGGAAATTGCAACAATGTATCGATTAAGCTTAACAAACTCCAGGGTGATCTCTGGTTCGAGCGGCTGCTCAGTTACCGAATCATATAATTCAAATAGACAAACAGAGACTTTTATATCACAGTTCACAGGGTCCATAGTCTGTGGGCAAGAGGCTGGCAAGTATGCCCTTCTAAGAACCCATCTCACCTGCCTGGACTTCCTGAATTGACCTTTGCCTGTCTGGACTCTGGTAACACTCTTTACTTTCTGGATTTCCTGAATTAACCCCTGCCTGTTTGGACTCTGATAATACTCTTTGCTTCCTAAAGTAACCTGCCTTGATTATGGTTAACCACTGGAATCCAGTTTCTGCCTATGGCAATGCCAGCAATCCTGTTCCAGCCTTGGTTAACTCCTGCAAACCTGTTTCTGCATGGGTTAACACCAGAAACCCTGTTTCTGCCTGGGTTAACTCCTGCAAACCTGTTTCTGCCTGGGTTAATGCCAGCAGCTCTGTTCCTGCCTGGGTTAATGCCAGCAGCCCTGTTCCTGCCTGGGTTAACGTCAGCAACACTGTTCCTGTCTGGGTTAATGCCAGCAGCTCTGTTCCTGCCTGAGTTAACGTCAGCAACGCTGTTCCTGCCTGGGTTAATGCCAGCAGCCCTGTTCCTGCCTGGGTTAACTCCTGCAATCCTGCTACAACGTCAATCAAGCGTTTCATTCTTTGCCCAGTTCTGAAACTCTGGTAAAAGACTATATTTTATCAAAATGACTTTTATTTCTTTAGATAAAAGATATTGCCTTATCTTCCACTCCTATTTTGCATTTGGACTTTTTCATTATATGTATTTGCTTTATAATAAAGACCTTAAATTTAAAGACTGTTGTGGTGGTATACCCTCTCCAAGATGGGTTACTACCACCTAGGTCGCCCCTTCCAGTTGTGATCAGCTCCAGAGTGGTTATAGCCGCTTGACAGTGATTATAGCTGCTGCAGAAGGGTAACCACGATACCACCCAAACACTAGTCAAGATTTAGTGAAGGGTGAAGAACTGTTTCATCCAGCCAAATGGCCCACATATACAAAATATGAGTACAGTAAACACACCCCAAACACATCCATATTCAGGCTCACAATGCACACAAAATACAGTGTCAGTGTGACTTAGCATAATATAGATAAACATGAAAAATACACATAATATAGGCATAACTTGAAACAAGACTTATATCCCTCGAAAAGGTCACTTTGTAGTGTCCCCTGGGTCTAGCTGTCTAGCTGGAATCATATGTGGTTAGCAAGGTTCGGGTGCAGAGTTCCAATGCTCAGGGTGGGTCTTCTCAGTCAATAATTTACCATGGCGCGTTCGACTAAAATGCGGGACTCCCCCACAAGTTCGGTATCTCTGGATGCCTAGTCTGTCTAAATGATGCCCTGACCTGGGGCCGAAAATCGCTCTAGATAAAGTTTTACCGATTCGGGGGATTCGCTTGAGCTGAATAAGAGTTCCAGACGATTTGGCGATGGTTTCCGGTCACACCCCTTTCCCAGATTAGTTTAAAACTAACAGAGGGCATGTCTTCTTGAGAGGTCTGTCACCACTGGGTCTGTCCAAATCTCTGCATACTGAGCCCATTCATCCCAAACTCATGACATTGTGGTGACTCCAATTTGAAGCCAGAAGAGATCTGGACCTTATAAAATAGTCTGAACAGTTCGAATTTATTGAATAACCCTGTACATCTATGCTACACCACACCCCAGTCTGAGTGAACCCCTTTTAGCTGCTATAATTAGTGATCAGTCAATGAAGTCATTGTTATGTGATTAAACCGTCACGCCTTCGATTCATATCTGAGATGCAAAAATAGGTTTCCACATCCAAGCAGAGAAACCGGTCAGACTTTCTTGCTCACCTGTTCCCCATGTTTTACGAAGACTGGCGATACCCAATTATTCTGCTTAGGCTGCAGAAATTGCAGACCTGCCTTGCAATGAAATTGAACAAATCAGTGTGTAGAAGGTGAGTTTGGATAAATACATTTAGAAGAGTAGGAATTGCTAGATTAGTCTGAATATGATTTTAGGTTTTAGAACTGTGTTAGAATTGGAGACTAACAGGGTTATTTATTAGTGATAATTCAAAGTGAATTTAAAATGAAGGTCTAATTTAAGGCCAGAGGAGCAAACCAGGCCTTTCCCAATAGGGCTGTTTTGACCTTAAATCTAAAAAATTTCTTTGAAATCACCTGGATTTCTTTCTCTTCAGTGATTTAAGTCTGTGAGGGAAAGTCAGGTTGCTCTTAGCGATCGTTGGACACATATAGGGGGTAGTGTTGTCCCGAACTGTTCGCCACGAACGGTTCGCCACGAACGGTTCCCCGCAACGGTTCGCCACGGACTCATTATTGAGTAAACTTTGACCCTGTACCTCACAGTCAGCAGACACATTCCAGCCAATCAGCAGCAGACCCTCCCTCCCAGACCCTCCCACCTCCTGGACAGCTCACTAAGAATGCAGCTTCACAATGGATGCTGTCCAGGAGTTGGGAGGGTCTGGGAGGGGGGGTCTGCTGCTGATTGGCTGGAATGTGTCTGCTGACTGTGAGGTACAGGGTCAAAGTTAACTCAATGATGAGTCCGTGGCGAACCGTTCGTGGCAAACCGTTTGTGGCGAACCTTTCACGAACCGTTCAGCGAACAGTTCGGGACATCACTAATAGGGGGTCGCTGAATACTGTCATCTAACCATCAATTATCTAGCTCATGGCAAATTTAATAAAAGGTAAAAAGTAAATTTTAAACAAGGACAAAAACTTCCGACTTCAAAAATGTTAGCGTTTAGAAGTCATTTTGAAACTGTTACTGCCATGTTAGCAATTCTACAATGTAACTGCATTAAAAACAGCATCGACATTAATGTGTCACTTCTAATTAAGACATGAATATGGCAGAAATAAAATGCAGCCCTCAACCCCTCTGTTCCTGTGCATCCAACTCGTCTGGTTACAAATACTTGTCTGTTAGTCCCCATATTGTACAGCGCTGCGGAATTTGTTGGCGCTTTATAAATAATAATAATATACATGCAAAACATGCATTATGTATGAATGCAGCATACACATTCTGTACACATGCAGCATCTACATCCTATATACATGCAACACTTAAATTCTATATACATGTAGCACATTCTATATATGTAGCACATACGTTCTATATACATATAGCACATACATTATATAAATGCTGTGTTTAAGGTGCCAAACTAGGGAGGAAGCGTTCGTAGACTGCTCCCTAATGTGGTACCTTAATATGGGATTGCCATATATTAGGATATTATATTAGGGGAATGTTTAGAAGATACCTCCCTATTTAGTACCCTTAAATTTGGCAAACTCTGCAGGATGCTGAATTAAGGTGTTATCTACTATACAGCGAAAAGATCAAAATTAAGACGAAAAAGCCCTTTCATTTGATTGTTTCAAGCATGTTTAGGAGATAAAGAATAGTGATGACTCTGATTCAGAGGTCACAATACCTGACCAAAGAATTAGTGCCAAAAAGCCCTAAGATTACTCTCCCTATTAGGGGAATAACCCACGAAATTAGTGTAAAAAAGAGAAAGAGAAAGGGGACTAAAATAAGTCCTCAGTGAGAGAGTAATGAATGGGGGGAAGGGGGTCCCTACCTTTAATAATCCTAAAGGAAAACACAATTAAAAAGGACAGATGGGAAAAAAGGAGTTTAGAGACAATTACAGAAAACAGGTGTCTACTATAAGAAAGAAAGACTGCCTGGCAAATTCTAAACCAAAAGGTTGAGCATCATGCGTCCTAAGTCTCATAGGTAACCAATCCAGGTATATAATAATAGCTAGAACACTAAGCCTGTATATAGAGGTGAAAAAAACCCTCTATAGGAGAAGTAAAAAACTACCCCAAATTTCCCAAAGACAGACTCCTATCTATGGAGAGCTTGCTCTAGTTACCTAAAAATTGCAAAGATTTAACCAACTAAATCCATAAGTGCTACCAAAAAAAAAAGGTGAACAAAAAAAGAAAATTAAATTAAATAAAGTAAGCTCGACGCGCGTTTCGGCGTTTCAGCACGCCGTCGTCAGGAGCAAAATGTTTAGGAGATAGTTCCCTAATGTTGTACTGTTATGTGGGATTACTATTTTTAAGGATCCCAGATTAAATCACTATTTTATAAACAGTGCCCTATTTTGCTATACTCTAGAATAGTGGAATCTGAATTTAATTTTGGTTCCAAATTTTGGACAAACTGAAATTTGAAAATTAACATTGAAATTAAACAAACCACATTCTTTGCCATTGCACATCTTCTTGTTAGAATCACAAACACTACCACCATGATCACTTCTGTTAGCTTTAGTCACCCAAGTGCTTGTCTACAGGCTAGTGTTGTGACAGCTTCCAATGCCACTGACACAAATCTACCTGCCGAAATGTTGGGTTGTGGCTAATATTTTGTGCCACCAAAGAAAAGATTGGGAACACTAGTCCTAGTAGGGACCCTGGGCCATTGCACCCAGACTATGCCCATTTATGTGAAGACTTCCTTGTACACAGTACAACATCTTGGAGGCAGGCATCTACTATCTATGAGTTCCATATACTAGATTTGTAGATGTTCATTAATACAAACAGCTCATGTTGTATGTGTCCAGTTACTGTGTCCAGCTAAGCTGCTGTTGTATATAAGCTGACACAATTTGCTGAGAGTTTATTTGCAAGATTCAGTGCCCCAGTACTCCCTCTTGTTCTGATTCTTAGAAACATAGAAACATAGAAACATAGAAACATAGAATGTGACGGCAGATAAGAACCATTCGGCCCATCTAGTCTGCCCAATTTTCTAAAAACTTTCATTAGTCCCTAACCTTATCTTATAGTTAGGATAGCCTTATGCCTATCCCATGCATGCTTAAACTTCTTTACTGTGTTAACCTCTACCACTTCAGCTGGAAGGCTATTCCATGCATCCACTACCCTCTCAGTAAAGTAATTCTTCACTCAGCAATACAGGTGGTCCATACTTAGGCATCAAACTACTTCCATACGTAGGCATCAAACTAATGAAAACCAGACTTGCATATAATAAAAGAAAACCATGAAGTGGTGCACACCAAATATCCAAAAAACTAGACACTTGGGCGAAACTAGACCCGTCTTGGATAAGCAGAATCAACTCGCTTAAAATGATGACCTTACCCCACATATTATTCTTATTTAGAACAGTGCCCATAGCTCTACCCAATTAAATAATCAAAAAATTCCAGTCTACTATTAATGCCCACATCTCGAAGAAAATAATACACAAATTTCCTTTCACTTGCTCTGGCTACCTTTCCATAGAGGGGGTCTTAATGCCCCAAACATTAAAAATTACTACAAAGAGGCGATCCTGGCACAGAGTCTAGACATACTGACAAACAGAACTAGCTGGCTCCAATTTGAAACCACTTGCAACAGCCTAACCCAGATCCCCAATTTCCTGTGGACAACATCCATGCCCAAAGATCCCATTGCGCTACCATGCACAAAATCTTTAATACAATCCTGGAAAAACTGGAGCTCCCTACTGCTGACCCCCAAGGAGCTGCTGTTCCTCACACCACTACCCGCTCTCTCAACAATATCACTAAACCTTCCCTTGCTTCCATGGGCTAAAAGGGGCTTAACACATGTAAATTCCATATTTAATAGGAATGGTGTGCTTAACTTCCTAGAACTGCGAACATCACATTCCCTATTGTTAAGAGATATCTTCAAATACCTACATTCTAGGGAAGTACAGCATATTGATCCACCGTCACTAACTAAGGTGGGCCACAAGTGTTATCAAACTACCAAAATCCAAATTCTTATCAATTTTCTATATAGCACAAAATGATAGAAGGGAAGACAGCAAATTGTCTTATATGCTCAAATGGGAAGAAGACCTGGATAACGTGTTCCCTTTAAGTGACTGGGAGGCGGCTGTTGCTCGTACTAAGCTATCCTCAAAATGTGTTACCCACTGGGAAGCATATTTCAAAATACTTATGAGATGGTACCTGGTACCCAGCAGGCTGTGCTTGATTGGAGATGTAATGAGACAAGGGGTGACATAAAGCACATATTCTGGGAATGTAAATGTTTGAGAGAATTCTGGCTTTGCATACAAAACGTAATACGTACCATATTGGGTACGGAGCTCTCTCTTATGCCAGAAGGCTATTTATTGCATATAATACCTGGGTTGGGAACAATGCCATCTAAAACTGCCGTCCTTAACATTCTACTGGCAGCAAAGTTAGGAATCGCATTTCATTGGAAAAGCACAGTGTGCCCTACAACACCAGAAATAGAATGGGCCAAAAGGGGTAACATGGTGAAATTCCGGGAAAATTGGAGGGGTTGGGAACCTTTTTTATTTACAATATACCAAAGGAACGTGAACATGACAGTGTACATAACAACTTGGGAACTTGGGAACTGGTTAACAACTTGGGAATTCATCACATTACCTTCAGTGAACCTTATTTAATGTATTTATTTACTTTACCTTCATTTCCCCCCTCCCCCTAAGGCCTTCTTACCCCTACATAGTAACCTTCCTCTCACCTCTACTACCCTTACCACTCCCTTACCACCCTTACCACTCCCTCTCCACCATCCCTAGGGTAACAACCCACGTTGACGGGAGTACCATATCATCTAGGTGAAAGAGTAGTGGTGCCTCAAAGAAGTCACTCTATGGAATTGACAGATCTCAGCATGACGGTAGGACCTGACTGGGTATATCGCAGACAGCACATGCACACAGTATCTGCACAGGTAATGGTATGGAACTAAATGCATACTGCAGTCTAACCGATTACTTTGAAAAAAAAAGCATGTTTCTGCTCATATAAGTTGGTTACCTTGAGATTCTGGTATTTGCAGTTTGGAAATCCAGAAATTCTTCCGATCACCAAATTGTAATTTATTCCAAACAAAGAATGAAAGACCCATGATGGCTAGCCATTCTGCTATTTTAATTATTATACTATGTGTTAAGTAAAAAGAGACTAGAATGTGTTTCCTAAATTAAATATTTGAAGTATTCCCTTTATGTATATCCCATAAAACTATTTCAACAAGTGAAACAAGATAAGTGCAGAATAAATGTTATTCTATTATATTCTAATAATTATAGCGTCTCTATTTCACAATCTGTCATTTTATTAAAAAAATTATGAAAAAAGCACAAAAAATAATAAAAAAGAAGTTGCAAAGAGAGTGAGCTTTGTTTGAAACAGTAAACTCGAACTCTGTAAGGATTACTGACTTGTGAAAGATTTACTGACGTGAAGGAATGTTCTGACATAATGCCCAGGGTGTCAGTTAATTAAATCCACCTAAAAGGTGACAATGGCATTACGTCAACCTAGGGATCTTGCAATATGTAAATTGGGGCTCGGTTTCCCTCTTTTATTGTTGTTTTTAAGTTCAAGTTATGCAAATAATTTTCTGTTTGGTTTTAGTCATGCAGCAAAATTCTTTATAAGCATCGTCTAGTGCTACTCTAGGTAAATTGATCGAGTGTTGAGCAGGTAAGTGGCTCCTGAATTCTGACTCTGATTACAGAATCCCAGAAACCAAAATATTTGAATCTACATTATTATCTGAAAATCTCTTTAGAAGGAAATATCTTAATAATTATAATAATTATAATAATGATAATATAAAATGTCCGGTTTATAATAGCATTTGGAGGGTGATTTCTGTCCGTTTCCAATTGTATCAGCACATATTTACATAATACCAAGAGATTTAATATTATCCAGCCAAGATTTATTACAGTTCTGGCACCAGCATCAGATATCTCTGTAATGTTACAAACTGCAACCACCTCAAATCATGAGTGTCAACATAGCATGAAAGACATACGGTGTGATGACTGCCAAATGTATTCTATGCTTAGTGAATCACCGGCTTAAAGCTTATTATGTCACATGTTAATTAAGGTTACAATTACTTAAACTGCTGGTAATGAACATGCCCGTTATCTGAGTCCGAATACAAAGTATGTTTATTTGCACTTAGATTAAAGGCTCACTATAGTAACCAAAACCACTACAGCTTAATGTACGGTATACAGCGTAATGTATAATATACAGCTTAATGTACGGTATACAGCTTATTGTATAATATACAGCTTAATGTACGGTATACAGCTTATTGTATAATATACAGCTTAATGTACGGTATACAGCTTACTGTATGGTATACAGCTTAATGTACGGTATACAGCGTAATGTATAATATACAGCTTAATGTAGTTGTTCTGATTTCTATATCCTGTCTCTGCAGGCCTTCCAATGTAAATGCTGCCTTTTCAGAGTTAAGGCAGTGATTACATTGCAGCCTAGTCACTCAGACTGCCACTAGAGATGCTTCCCGGGTCAGTGTTGCAGTGTGCAGCACTAGCATTACCCATCTCTACGCTCTACATGGAAGCGCTGATGGTTCCCCCATATTGATTCAATGTATCCATATGAGAAAATGCTGATTAGCCAGGGCTGTGTTTTCCCCTACAATAGCCTCCCAATGCTTTCTTATGGGGAAGTATTAGATTGGCTGAGAGCTTTAAATTTGAAGATTTCGGTCATGAAGGCAGAGCGAGGTGGAGTAAAATCATCTATTTAAAGTAAAGCGGGGGGCCGGGGCCTATATAGTCATTTTACCACTATAGTGTCAGGCACAAATGTTTCTGCTCTTACTCTAAAAAATCCTTTGAAGCACCAGGAGGTCATGGCTTCATTATCAAATGTCACTAAGTGCCCTGAGTGGTGTTTTAATATTTTATTTTCCATTTCCAGACATGGCAGTCCGTGGAGTTCTCGTCCTGTGTTTGTGGATGGTCGTGTGTTGCAGTAAGTATTTATACCAATCAAAAGAAGATGGCGAACTTAACATTGTAAGCAATAATATTTATAGGTTAGTGATATTCTGGAGAACAAATGTCAGCCAGCTTGATGGGAGTTACAATCCTTACCTGTCAGAGGGCAACAGTCTGTCTATCATTTGTTCCACATTGAATTTAACATATAAAGACTTATAAGTCCAGGTTGTGTGAATGTTCATATCTTTTTTTTATTGTTTATGATTTCTTCATAACATTTTTGTTAGTTTTTGGAAACAGCAATAACATAACCAAAATTAAAATTCAGACCTTAGGATAAGAATACGTGATAAGGAAGAGTAAGAGAAGCAAGTAATTAAATAAATCTGTTTTTTCAAGGTTCAAGGGGAAAGCTTAGAAGTCGCCTCTCAAACATTTTACTAATTGTCATTTTGTTTGAGTGGTATATGCTAGTTAAGCTTGAGATATTTGAGAAAAAGATCCTTTGGGTGCAAGCCTGTAGACATTCCCCTATTATATTTATATGAATAATGATTATATAATTTTAAGTAAAAATATAAGAAGTGTGGAAGCACTTTAGTATTGAGACCAAGCACTTATGGGCAACTTTGGGAACAGTTTCATATCTAACATGGTGCAGCAATCAACTGACTCGTTTGGCCTTCAGAGCATCGGGGTTAGTGATCAGTTCAGCTATGGCTTACCAGGATCCTGGAAAAAAAGGTAAAACAGACCTAAAAAGATTTAATTATGGCAGAGGGGAAAATGCACTTCTGTTGGATAGGGCTGAACCCATTGACTTCAGAGCGCCATCTCCCTCTCATCTTGCTCATCTTAGTCCATTGTTTAATACAATAATTGGAGATCTTATTTGCGTTGTCCCACCACGTCTGTTGAATTTCTATTAAAACAACAAAATGTGTATTTGTTATCTAAAATATATATTAATCATTTTAAAACAAAAACACAGAAAATTAGATTTTAACTCAGATGTTTTTAGAACCAGGTTGTACGGTTGTTTTTAGATTACTTTCCCCAAATTCTTGGCTTGTAGGGCCATGGTTGGACAAGCCTGACTAGATGTACTGTGTTTGCTTTGACTTCCATTTTTTTCTGCTGTTCTTCAGGGCTATAAACCAAGTGCCTTCTAGGTTAAGACTCTTGTAGGTGGCTACAAGTTCCTGATGCGTACATAAGCCAACAGGAAGTCAGAAATCGGCAAGGAAGCAATCACATACAAATCGCACATTCCAATCAGAGAATATATTTACTATATTTTAGAACTGTGAAAATACATTTAGGCCAGAGAAACTAGATCGCTGACTTCATCATGAGTGCCTATATAAAATACATACTTTATTGGATATGAATTAAAAAAAAAAATAATGATTGGTGTATACTTAAGTGGCAGCCCTGAAGCAGATCTATTAAATTACCTTTTCTGATAAAATCTCTAACCAATCATACAGAAGGCAGTGACTGTCTTGATATGTATTAAATAATTATAAAACATGTTGTGACATATTTGGATATTTGAGACACATAATATCCAGATTTTAGAAGAAAACATGTTATTCGCAAATACAACAAACGAGACTCTTTGAGTAGGCAGTACTTCACCCAAGCTTGTCCTACCAGCTAATCGGTTGTTAATGGAATTTAATTGCTTTTCTGAAAAATAGTTCCCCCCGTTTATGTTAAATGTGACAGAATTTACAGATGCTCATTTTCTTTCAATTTGCCTGAAAATGATTAATCTACTTTTTTCTTTTTCACAGATTCTCAGGACCTATCTTGTAGAACCACGCTTTGTCCTCAGGGATATGAGTGCACTATGGAGAATGGAAAGCCAAATTGTATCCCTCAGAAAGTGGATGTGTGTGGGGCTTCAGGAGACCCTCATCACACTACCTTTGATGCACGTTACTTTGATTTCATGGGGACATGTACATATACTCTGGTGAATGTCACTAAAGATGCTGAGAAGAGTCTTAAACGCTTTACAGTTCTGGCCAAAAATGATAATCGAGGAAATGTTGCTGTTTCCTATGTGGCTCTGGTAACCTTCAAAACAAGCGGCTACACTATCGATATCAAGAAAGGGGAAGTTGGCTCTGTGAGAGTGAGTACAAAGGCAGAATCCATACCTTTTACTGAATTTCTGCTATATGCACACAATATATTTAAATATTCCATGTAAAAACAGTTTTTATATTTTATTTAGCTGTCCTTATAATCAACCTTTTATTAATTCATAGTTGGTTTCGATATTTATTTCCTTAAATTACTCTAATTTTTTCCTGGCTTTCCTGTACAAACATTTATTTGTTTCTCCTATCCTAAATTCCTTTGAACAGGTCAATAACGTAATGTCCCTTCTGCCGGTGACCCTGAATAGTGGAACTGATTCTATGATAACAATTTTCCAAAGTGGAAACACAGCAATCATCCAGTTCACGACTGCAGTCAGGATATCGTATGATTGGAATAGCGTTGTGCGCATTGAGCTCACAAGGATTTATTCAAAGAATGTTGAAGGCATGTGCGGGAATTACAACCAGGATCCAGATGATGACTTTCAAATTCCTAGCGGCTCCCAGGCCCCCAATGCTATTGAGTTTGGAAAGAGTTGGAAGGTAAGACATTTTTATGACTGGATTTAAAATCTTGTTTATCAGTAGTTTAAGAGTTCAAGTATTTTAGTGCCAAGTAAAATAATAGATTTATGGAGCGGGCTCTAGATGTTTCTGGGTTATTTTGTCTCCTGGATTGATTCTTCAGAGACACTGCACTTGGAGAAGGTATTGAAATCTCAGTAGAAAATCAATCCTGGCCACCGGTTATTAAATCTATTATAGAATACAAAAACCTAACGGCTGGTTACTATGTCAGTGGTACTTTACTGGCAACATCAGAAGAAAGGAATGAGTGTTGTCAAAATATCAGAGTTGAGTGAAAAATGAACAAAGCAGTGGGTGACTGCAGGCGGGTTCTTCCCCACCCCAACCCCCCGCTGTACAACTCACTTCTAGTTTTTCTTATGATTTTTCTTTTACTACCAGATATGTATGTCAGGAGAAGAGCTGGAGAGACAGTAATCACATGTGTCTATTTGCCCAGCTCCCATCCCCACATATCCTCTATCCTGGGCAGGTCAGAATCAAGCTCCTCTCTCCACTTATTAATCCTATTTGTCATTGTAAGTTAATATGGAGGCGAAAGGACTCATTCAGATGATCATGGAGGTCACCACACTTATTTACTTGGTACTGGCTGCTGACGTATCGTCTCTGGCTGCATAATAATGAGGAAGAAGACATGCCCACCATGCCTGGTCCCCAACATGGAATGAAACACAGCTGATAAATATGGCACTGTTGCTCAAAATGCAGATGGCTAAAGCCAGCCTTCCCCTAAAATACACACACAATAGGCCACTATTTATGGGTATAGAAACCTAAAAAATATCTATCTAGCAAGGTAACCGTATTTAATTAAACAAAATCAGATTGCCCTCATACCGAGCGAACATAGATGAAACCATGTGATTTTGTACAAGTGGAAATGGTATCATGGGGTGGTTGTAACATTTTAGTGGTGGGGGGTTACAGTCTGCACATTAAGCATTAGAACTGGGTGTGGGGGGAGGGGGCAGCAGCTGCCTGCATTTCATGGGTGGCCCTGAGGATCCCCTAATCCTCCAGCATGAGGTGAGGGTGAAAAGCAGTACACACGTTAATGGCGGCAGACTTTAATCATTACTTTAACATTTCATGAATTCATTTATATTGGTGTAAACTTTGTATTTATTACTCTTTCTGCCTGTAAATATTAAACATGTTTGTTTACTCTGTGCTGGATTACAGAGGTGCATTTTAAGTGTGAGTTTATAAAAAGGGTTTGTCTGCCTACAGTTTGATAGTGTCCGTCATTCTGTCAATGACCAGAGATGGGAACTGTTAGAGAGATGTGCTATTAAAATAAACAATATAAAATAATTACAGTCAGTGTGAGACACAGATCTGGGAGACTTTTTTTTTTTTTTTTTTTACATGTTTTATGTGTCTTTCTTTCTGGTCCTTCTAGGTGGACGATGGCACGGAATGCTGGGATGACTGCAATGGACCATGTCTAACCTGCCTTGCCAAATTGGCAGAGACATTCAAAACAGACGACTATTGTGGGATACTTACCAAGAAAGACGGTCCCTTCAGCGAGTGCCATGCTCTTGTGGATCCCAGCAGATACATGGATAACTGCGTGTACGATGTGTGTTTAAATGATGGTGACAGGAAGCTTTTATGTGAGGCAATTAAGGACTATGTGGACACCTGTCAGCGTGCTGGGGCGAAAATCAGTGACTGGAGAAAGGTGGCCGGATGTCGTAAGTGCTTATAACATAACAATGCCAAAATTATACCAGACCTTTCATTTATATGATTTAGAGAGTCTTGCAGCAGCAGATGGACCCCTGAGATATGTCCATCTATCTCTCATTAAGGAGCAGGAATGATCTGTGTGCATGGTTGTGAAGATCATTCCTTCTTTTTTACACGGTCAGTGTTGTTCACTAAAGTCCGAATGGACTATTTCTGAATGGGACAAAACTATTTACACAGCAAGTCGTGGGAGAAGTGATACTTGCCTGTCAGAGCGCTCTGATTGGTTGGTTTACAAGCCATCCAATCAGAGTGCTCTGATGAGAAAGCAAAGAATGGGGGCAGTGGCTGCCCAGTCATTAGTTTCAAACATTCCAGGCAGCTAGCTAGCAAGCGCTGAGCAGTGCCTCACATAATAAGCTCTTGCAGCGCTGAGGGTTGTTGAATTATTTGCCCTCTGGCTGCTAGGATTGTCAGTGGGGATAATACTTCAGATTATCAGTCATTGGCAAAACAGCAAGTGAATAGTAAGGTGTGACTGTGCATCCTGCTGGATGCATTCTGTTCAGAATTTTTGTAAAACTGGTACTTTGTGAACATCCAGAAACCTATACCTTTGTGCATAGGTAGAGGGTATTGTGTCTGGGCATAACCCATACCCACCGCTAAACCCCAACCACATTGCTTGCCCAAAATAATCAAACCACAGACTTACTTGGTGAAAAAAGGCCACGGCTTTAATAAATATATAAATATGTATAAATCTTTAAACTTCAACTTTATAACATAAAACATCCTATACATAATTTAGTCATTAAATATATTTGTCACTAAGTACCACCTTGCCAACCAAAAACATTCAACAGGGAAGCTGCCCAACCCCCTCGTCCCAACCAGCACAAGGCCTTTCTGGGCCTTTCATTCTCGTAATGCTAACCACTAGCTGATTATTGGCTCAGTGGGCATGTCTGTTATCCATAACTTACCTGAGGTTAGGGAAGTAAAAGCCCTTTCCATCCACTTTCCACGGACAGCTGGTCCCACCCCCGGTTGACAAGGGCCACACACTGCCACGCTGTGAAAATAAACAACACAGACAACAAACGCAAATAAAGAAACAAACAAGGGGAGAGAGGGTGGGAAGCTGTTATCAAGTGATTATGAAGATGGCTGCTTATACTGTAAAATGTCCACCTATCCCACCCCTTTACCCCTAATCCTCCTCCCACCCTTCTAAAGAACTCCTTACCATTCTATCTATACACTCCCCCTAGGCCTTGCCCGACTCCTCACGGTCTTGTATAGGATTCCGTTGCAAATGCACTGGTTTTAATCCAGACACCAATTGCTGCAGATTCGCTTGGCCAGACCAAATTCTGACTATATTTGGCTTTAGTAAATATTGGAATTGGCATTGCAGTCAGAACTCCAGACAGACAAAATCTGGTGTTTAGTAAATCTGGTGAGAGAGATGTTAATTATATATATATTTTTTCTTGCTTGCATCCAGCCTTAGACTGCCCTGAGAACAGCAGATATGTGCTCTGCGGGAGGGAATGTGCCCCAACGTGTCAAGAACAAGAATCCTCCTTGTGTTCTAAGCTCTGTGTGGAGCAATGTCAATGTGATCCAGGTTTTCTTCTGATCGGAGGAAAGTGCTTATCAAAAGAAAATTGTGGTTGTTTCTTTAATGGGCGTTCATATGCTCCCAACCAGTCATTTTGGGGGGACGATACCTGTACCCAGAAGTGTATTTGCAATGAAAAAAGCAAGGAGGTGGAGTGCAGTAGAGCATCATGCAGCGTTAGAGAAGAATGCAGTGTAAGGGATGGACTCCGAGACTGTTACCCCCCTATCTTTGCATGAGGAGAGTCTGTCCCTCTTTCACAGTGTCGCTGAATTTATAACTGAGCTTATTACTCTGTCAGAGAGACTGTGAAGAAAAGAGTTGTTGGAAGAGTCATATCGACAGTGATGGTGGCAATAATAAAGGGAAAACCTTCTCACTCCTGGGTATTACACAAAAACATAAATGTATCTAACTTTATTTCTATATAAAAATGAAGTAGATTTATTCCATCAAAACAAATATACACAAATATATAAACTCAGCTTAATGTTACAAGGGAAGAAGTTCAGGGCAGATCTTCCTTGTCTAGCTAGAACAAAAAGCAGATGTGGCCAGTAAAATGGCACCAAAACTCAAGATAAGCCATGTGACTTATCAACACCATCTGTCCTTTACTAACCCAGAGTGCCAAGTAATGTATGCCTTGAATGTCATATTCTGCAATTCCTTCTGTTTGTGGTTTGTCTTAAAACCATAACACATTGTCAGTGACCTATTGATTCACACATAATTCTTATCAGATTTGTATCTCTGTCTGAGTATAAAACAAGATACAGTCACACTTTTCTAATTTCAGAATTCTTAGACGGAGGAGCTAACTTTCTTAATGTCTCTTTTGCCAAAGTTGCCCTCTGTTTTAGTTTCTGTGAAATTCATGCAGGTATACATATTTGTCTAATTGTTACACTACATAACTATATGAAGAATAACGCATATAACATATATACAAATAACAATAAGAAATGGATACAAAGTAATATTTACAACAAAAGAACTTGAAATTAATGACCATTGATGCTTTTTATCTTTTAATTTGCTTTATTCATTCAGAGATAAAATGTCTGCCTCATTAATTTCTTTCTGTATCTGTATATAGAATAATGTTTTATCTTTCCTAATTTCATCCACCCACTTTTTCAGTGGAATTCCACTTGTTTGTGAAACATTAAATCCATTATTTGCTTTAAACTATTAAAAATATTTACCCAAGTCCCTTGTGTGAAAACGTGAATGATTATTTTAGCTTGGTGTGTTAGACAAATTATTTTTTTATAGAAAATGTAAACATCAAAAAGATTTTCTATTCTCGTTTTTTTATTTAATACATTTGCTTAAGTTCTCCCTAAGTTTAAAGAGTTACTTGAACATGGACCCTGTGCTCACTGCGCCTAGAGGGGTATCAGCTATACCTCGCTGACGAAGCCCAAAGAAGGCCAAACTGATTGAGGTTACTGTATTCTCATGCAGAAGGTACTTCATAAAATGGAAAACAAGTAAAAAGATGCTAAACAATTCAATAAACTGTAAATATATGCAAAAGGAAAAACAAAATTGCAACTATAGCAACATCTACAAAGTGCAATAGTCAATAAAAATTACTCTCCTAAAACCAACTCCGCCAAGGACCGCTTCCTAGTTGGAACAGGGGACAGACCACAGCACTACTGCCCACAGTCGCCGTGGCTTGACTGGGGCCATGGAACCGCTCCTTCCAGGAGCTGAATAGGGAATTAGCTCTAGTCCTTACAAGGACTTTCCCTGTTGAATCCCCTGCAAGCTGGAACAGCAGACACAGGAGTTAATATTCTTTCCCTCCAAGATCAGGACAACACACAGTTTTGGAGTGTAAGCTGGAATAGAATTTTAATAAAAGGACACTGACCTTTTAAACAACAAGGGTTACACCCAGGTGGACTTTGTTGGGCACAGGGACATAAAGTGAATAACCAATAAAAACAGAGTCATACAGTGAGACACTCCCATAAACAAACAATAGAATTCCTCCTCTGTGCTTGGGAGATAATTGAATCAGGATCTGTACTACTCTAACCAAATTATCTCCAAGCACAGAAAAAAAAAAAAAACATACAATTTTATGAAACCCCAAAAAGTACCTTAAAAACACATAAAACCCCATAAAGGTACATCCCCCTGATAGCCCTGATCTGGGTGAACAACACATCCAAAAGTCACCCAGATCGGTTCAGGGGTTCAGGAATTTCCTGTTAGTCATAACTGTGACCGACCGTGCACATGGTCCTATGCCCAAAACAGTTCCATAAAATAGGTGCTAATGGTCAGTCAAGTTTGGTAGTCTTTTACAGGTTTCCCTGCAGGGCCCATAGTCTGTGGGCAGGAGGCTGGCAAGGAGGCTCCTCCAGGAGCTCGTGGCAAACTCACTTGGAGAGGGGAGTTTGTCACAAAGGACATATTACGTTTTTAAGTGATAGCATTAGATGGATTTTAAACAATAATTAAATTTTCCTTAATTCAAAATGTTATTTGCGAAGTCAGGGTACGTCTATGGGGACCAGGTTCGCCCCTAGTCATGCCAATTTTTGCATGCTGGGCTGGGAGAACATATTTATATATGGCAGCCCATAATGGGGTGAGGATCTGGTCAGATACTATAGATATATTGATGATCTGTTTTTCAATACTAGCTATTTTAGTACATTCAATATAAATGTTTTAGATCTGGATATTTATGTAGAAGAAGAACATGTTTTTAAAATAGATGCAAACCATTTATACAATAGCAGATATTACACGCCTTGGCTAGGTAATAACCCCAAGGGTCAATTGCAAAGAATAAGAAGGTATTGCACGAATGAAAAGTTTTTAAGGAACAGGCATACTTTTTAATTTAATAATATACACAGAGAAATTATCCTAAAAAACATCCAGATAAAGCCTAAAGTGAAGTAATTAGATTTTTACGGAACTTCTAGATAATATATCCCCCTCCCAATCAGGTAAACAAGGGGGCCCCATCTTTTTTTTAAACAAAATCTTTCTCTTCCCTCATCCCTACTTTTCTCTTTTAACTTCTTACCCTTCCTTTTCTCACTATAACTAACTTTGCACAGCTCCTCTGAGAGCACCCATACTCCTCCTATATGAAACAAAAGTGGACACCCTTCATAATTGGGTCACGGGATCCTATGATGAGCAATCCTCCTATTGTTGGGACAGTTACTGATCGCAATTCGTAGCATAGCGCCTGATCAATATTGCAATTTGTACATACCCTCATTGTTCCCATCATCCTTGGTACCAGGTATCAAGTAAGAACACTCATCAAAAACCATTGTTTCCTACCCGACATGATCACATTTTCTTGACATTGGCTCCATAGGATACATACCCACTCTGACACAAACTACACAGTAATTCTCTCTCGATAAACTTTGAAGAAATTCATTGTTTACTGGTTTTCTGTATGTAATTGTTCATCTTCTTTGTTGCACGATGGCAGACTGATGAGATTCATGTCTAACTTGTGTCACTCTACTAAAACATGAATAATGTTAACATTGTAATCTGATCAACACTCTAACAATGGCAATGTGTTTTCACAAGATCTGCCAACCAATTTTCTTTTTGTTTTATCAAGGTTGTTATTATTTAACAAATACTTTCTGTACTTTTGTGACTTTCATAAAAAAATAAAACTTAAATGAATAAAGAATGACATTTAAAAAAAAGTGTCACACTAAAGACCCAAGTAGTTTAATATTTTTAGGAATTCAAACAGTAAAAAATCCTGGCATGGTGGTAATTTTATCACTAGTACAGATAGACAGGGAGGAAATGAGTCTATAAGGTTGGAGACGCTGGAACCTAAGGGACTGATTATTGAATTTGAGTTGTACAATTTTTGAAATAAAACATTGTATTTTTAACTGAATTTACGTTTTCTATTTTGTATTTTTTTACATCTTTTTACTTTTCTTTTTCTTTTTTTAAATTGGTACTAATATCCTTCTCTTTTTTCCTCTTAAACATGTGATTTTAGTTTTATATGTAATTATATGGATTCTGTGCAGTTTCCTGTCCTTTTTTAGACTTTGCATTATGAATAATAAACTTTTGGTTTTATTTGGGTAATATTTTACAATGTTTAGGTTATATGCCACATACAATATGTATAATGTTTTGCAAAATGTCACATATTGCTTGGGCTGTTTTTAACATATGGGACATTTGTGGCAGTTTTGAAAAAAAGTCCTTTTTGAATGTCTTCGATTTGGATTTGAAATAGGTTATTTACTGTTTTTTATGAGGATGTTTTAAAATGTATGCACACCCCTGTGATATTCTTAAAGAGTGCTGAGAAAACATCCAATTATTATGGGACTTGCAATATTCACGCCCTTTTTGGGCAGACTTAAATATGGACTGGCAGTATGGACAGGCGTGGTCTGAAGAAGCCATCTAGGTGAAAAAAATCATCATGCGAGCATCACATGTGACACCATCACTTGCACTACTAAAGTCTCACCTCCCGGAAGAGTTACGAGTGCAGTGTCGGCAGTCTGGTGGATTGCTGGAAATGACGGTAAACCGATGGAAATGCTGGACAAGACAACTCATTCTGTGGAGGTGTATTTTATCTTGGAAATAAAGGTTTATCAGAATCTTTGCTGCTATCATGTTTCTGAAAAAGCCCAACCTTGACCCTAATTCCCCGTCTAACCAGCACCCTATCTCGCTACTGCTGTTTGTCTCCAATATCCTTGAGCAAGTTGTGTATACGAGATTGACAAACTTCCTTGAATCCAACTCTCTGCTTGACCAACTTCAATCTGGATTCCTTGCTCGTCACTCTGTTATAACAGATGTGACCAAAGTATACAATGATCTTATCACTGCTAAATCCCATGGCCATTACTCTATCCTAATTCTCTTTGACCTTTCTTCTGCTTTTGGCACTGTTGATCATCAACAGCTTCTTCTTATCCTCTGTAATCTTGGTCTACGAGATACAGCTCTCTCCAAGTGCTCTTCCTACCTCTCCCAGTGCTCAGTGTTTCTTTCTCTGGCTTTGCCTATTCTCCCCAATCCCTCTCTGTTGGTGATCCCCAAGGGACTGTCCTTAGTCCCCTTTTGTTCTCAATCTATACTGCCTCCCTTGGTAAACTCATTAGCTTCTTTTTGGCTTCCAATATCATTTCTATGCGGATGACACGCAAATCTACCTGTCCTCTCTTGATCTTTCCCTGTCCCTCTTGACTAGTGTCTCTGACTGCCTCTCTGCTGTTTCTAACTGGATAGCTGCCCACTTCCTTAAACTAAACTTGACCAAAACTGAAATTCTGGTCTTTCCTCCCTCAAGTGTTGTTACTCCTGTGTCTGTCTCCCTCCAAGTCAACGGTGCTACCATCAGCTCCACCACGCAGGCTCGCTGCCTAGGTGTTCTCTTTGACTCCGACCTCTCCTTCAAGCCTCATGTTCAATCTATCGCCAAATCCTGTCATTTCCATCTCAAAAACATAGCTCCTTCAGCTTCCAGTATCGTTTCTATGTGGATGACACGCAAATTTAGCTGTCCTTTTTTTTTTTTTATAAATTCTTTATTTATATTGTTTTGTATATAGTTTATGTTGAGCAGGGGGGTGGGGTACAGAAAAGAAAGGGATGGGTAACAGGTACATACATATTTGCACAACATTACATTTCAGTTCATTTGCTGCATATCTGGTCATTGGTGTTTGAACCATGTTCCGTTTGTTCCAGAGCGTGAGGCTCTCGGTTGTGCCTTGGGTTGCAGGTTCGTGTTGTGTATGTGCCCCCCGTGGGTTCGTTGGTTGCCGTGAAGTCCTCACACAGTGGAAGTGCCTGACGTTGTGATGTATTGTGGGTGTACGGGTGGGTGGCTGGGGAAGAGGATTAGGTTGTTGGGGTGAGCCCAGTGAACCAGTGGGTTTGGGTGTCGTATGTTGTTCTAATTATATTCCTGGGATGTATCTTGGTATTGGCAATTGTTACTGTTTTGGGGCATTCTCATGAAGAAGGGTGAGGTGGTTGGGAGGGGAAGGAGTGTGGGTTGCTGGGTTGCACTTGCAGTGGTCTCGTTGGGCTATCCAATCATTGTGGGGTCTTAGGCTGTGCTGGGTCTTGCCTGGTTATGATTGGCGCTGTTTTGGTTATGTGCTTCGGGGGCTTGTGGATGTGGATGTGCTGTGGTGCTGATTTGGGCCCGT